TAGATTTGGCGTTTTCCGAGGAAACGGACCTTGAATGTGCTCGGTTGGCCTTCATGCATAGCTGCCAGCCATGGGATAAAAGTGTCTCCACGGAGGGCCTTCATTTGGCTCAAGGCGAGATCGAGGCCGAAAATGCGATCCCATTGGGGATAGGATGGGATAACGCCGCAGCCATGGGCTTTGCGTCCTTGGTATTCTTTGAATCGCCCCCGCAGTATATTGAGGAATGTGGCCAGTAACCCAGAGGCAACGGCCAGAGACCAAAGGTTGTCGACGATTATCATCGTGTGGGCAGGTTTGTTGATGATAAAAACTGTCTCCAGCAACTTTTGAGGAATGAATTCCACATCTTTGATGCGATGAACCGAGACGCATTTAAAGCATAGAGGCGCAAAAGACCTCGTTAGAAGACTCGGAGGTCTCTTTCGATGAAGTGAGTGCAGCTCCGTGAGGTACTTGTGGTCAAATATTACCCCCGATACTCCACTCTCGAATCTCGGACTTAAATTCGGGACCTTAACGCAACCATAGCTGAATGTAATATCTATCGGGTTGCTCGGATAAATAACTGTATCTATGTAGTATTTATGATATAATAACAATAAGTAAGTTAGTTAGTTACTTATTATCAATATTATATAATGAAGAGGGGACCCCGGGACAGGGGCACCGACAGCCCTGCCTACGAAACAGGTGTGAGAGCAGAGTCGTCACTGGGAGTAGTAGGGTGCTAGAGAGGAGAACTCGGCAGCAGGTGCTGTATATCTAACCCGAATTTGTCGAGATTATCTTGTGGAATGACTACGGCGAGTCTCACTATATTGGACCGCTGTATGATACAGCTATGGAAGCTTTTGAAATTGGAAAAGCACTGTTCAATTACGCGATGGATATGCCGCACGATGGCTGGCGCGCCACGTTACCCTACTGGATAGATATGTATAAAATAGGAACTGCTAAAGTCACGGAAGAAAGTATCATTGCCTGGTATCATTGTCCCCTGCGGCGGCATGTGGCAGTAGAGGTACTAGCGGTAATACTGCCTCCCAGTTATAGATTGAATTTCTACCTTCAGGGATGGTTTAGGATCGCATTTTCTTCTCTGCCGTTCTGGGCTCCTTCTCGGGTGCGGGTGATCCGGATCAATAGCAGAAATGCCTCACCTGCAGAGCACAGACGAAGACGAGGAGAAAGAAAAAGCGGGCGGGCGAAAAACAGCGAAAAGTTGAAGGGGCAATAGAGGGATTATATAGAACCACGCACGGGGACGCACACGGACAAAGAGCGCTAAACCTAAGATGTCAAAACTTAACATAAGAAAGTAATTCGCAGTCCCTATCCGATATGGTGTAGTGGCTAACATCGCCGTCTCTCACACGGCAGCCGGGGGTTCGATTCCCCCTATCGGAGTTTCTTTTTTGATTCTTTTCTTTTTTTCTTTGTCTTTATATCCTAGAAATTTTAGAAATGAAAACAGTTGGTGGAATTGGCATCTCGTTCTAATCATTTTTGGTTCGAACAAGAAACTATATCAGAGTGCCAAGGCATACTAATAAAACGAAACAGAGTAAAATACACTCGTACTTGTCCGATATATATCAACCATCAACCGAGTGAATCCAGATACTTTACTCCGTAGAGCAACTTGCTTTAGTCGCATGATTTGCGATGATCTGCGCGTAGACCGAGATTGTTGGAATATTTAATCCCTAGCAGTCGAGGATGTTCCTTCGGTTGTTGTTGGCCGAGAACAAGGGTCTGAAGGAAATCGGAGAACTGTTCTTGAATACTCAATGGTCTGGAGATATGGAGCGGAAATGACCAAAGACAAAGAACATAAATCTATACATAGACGCATCTCTATTTTACTTACTTGCTTCTACTGAATAGGACTGGGTCTGGGCAAAATATCGGGCTAGACGCAATACAATTGGACCACATAAGTGTACATTACTAAAGTCAACTGTAACAGTCCTTTCGAGTTGGGCAGCATGTGTATTTCACGAAAACAAGGAGAAGATTACATGGATGATGTGTTTTGCTAGCCGAGCTAGTCTAGGTTAGCTAAAAGTGGTACATGGTGATAGGATATATGAGATCTGAAGATTTAGAAGTGAATGGCCTTAGAGTAGGTGGCCATAGCAGCCTCCTTGAAGGCTTCGGAGAGAGTGGGGTGGGCGTGGCAAGTGCGGGCAATGTCCTCGGAGGAAGCACCGTACTCGATGGCGAGGGTGGCCTCAGCAATCATCTCACCGGCACCGGGGCCGATGATGTGGACACCGAGAATGCGGTCGGTCTCGGCATCGGCGATGAACTTAACAAGACCCTCGGTGTCGAGGTTGGTCTTGGCGCGGGAGTTGGCGCTGAAGGGGAAGGTACCGACATTGTACTTGACACCGGAAGCCTTAATCTCAGCCTCGGTCTGGCCAACCCAAGCGACCTCGGGGTGGGTGTACATGACGCTGGGGATGGCAGCGTAGTTGACGTGGCCGTAGCCGGTCTTGATATATTCGATGGCGGCAACGGCCTCCTCCTCGGCCTTGTGGGCCAGCATGGGACCGAAGGTGCAGTCACCAATGACACGGACGTGGGGAAGCTTAGTGCGGTACTCCTGGTCGATGATCAGGCGGCCACGCTCATCCTTCTCGATTCCAACCTGCTCCAAGTTCAGGCCCTCGGTGTAGGGACGACGGCCAATAGCGACCAGGACAACGTCGGCGTCCAATGTCTCCTCCTTGCCACCCTTGGCAGCCTCAACTTTAAGGGAAATGGTAGAACCACTGTCATCGCCGGACATGACCTTGGTGTTGGTCTTGAATTTAATACCCTGCTTGCCAAGGATCTTCTGGGCCTGCTTGGAGATCTCGGCGTCCATGCCGGGGCCACCGATCTGGCCGAGGAACTCAACAACAGTGACCTCAGCGCCGAGACGGGACCATACGGAAGCCTATACCACAATGTTAGCACGATCTAGCATTGGAAACTCATTCCGTAGTTAATACATACCATCTCAAGACCGATGATACCACCGCCGATGACGGTCATCTTCTTGGGGACCTCGGCGAGAGCCAAAGCACCAGTGCTTGAGACAATGCGCTTCTCATCAATGTTCAAACCGGGGAAGCCGGTGGCTTCAGAGCCGGTGGCGATGATGATGTTCTTAGCACGCAGGGTCTTCTCACCACCGTCGTTGAGGACGACCTTAACAGTGTTGGCATCAACAAAAGAACCGGTACCCTTGATGTACTCGGCGCCGTTCTTCTTAAGCAGGAACTCAACACCCTTAGTCAGGCCTTCAACAGCTGTGTCCTTGGCCTTCATCATCTGGGTAAGGTTGAGCTTGACATCGCCAACGTCAATACCGCGCTTCTTGGTATCGTGAAGGACCTGGTGGTAGAGATGGGAGTTGTTGAGGAGAGACTTAGAAGGGATACAGCCGACGTTCAAACAGGTACCGCCGAGCGTTCCGCGCTTCTCGATACATGCGGTCTGCCAGGGTGTTCAGTTAGTATGCGGATTGCAACGGCAAGACCGACCTAATCAAAAATTGGAAAGCCTAGCGAGAAGTGGTTCTTACCTTGAGACCCTCTTGACCGGCCTTGATAGCAGCAACGTAACCGGCGACACCACCACCGATGATGACCAGGTCGTGATCTATTGCTCGGGAAAGCGGATATCAGCAATCGCGTCCGGCAAGAAAACAGAACCTCTCCGGGTACTCCCGGAACTCCGTGATGGCGATGTGAGCATCGACTTACCTGCTTCAGAAGCGAAACCACGTTTTGAGTGGCCAATGAAGATCATGGGAGTAACGAAATTGTTGGGAATAGCCCTGGAGCCGGCATGGCGGAAGGCAGACCGGGGCGAAGCCCGGGGCAAGACGGCGCGGAACATAACGAAAAGAAGGGACGAAAAGATTAGTAGTCTTTAGATATAAATGCAATCCTCGATGTAGGCGGATTGGAGTTGTTGGGAGTGCGCAAATAGGGTGGTGGTTTAGAGCACGGGAAATGACTGAGCTTTTGCGGTATTGCTTGGCCTCACCGCCTACTACGGACCATGCCGCAAAGCTGGCCCGTATTACCAAGGCGGTAAGACGGGCCGGCACCTTAACGGATGATCTCGGGATCCGTTCCCGATGATTCTGCGGGCAGAATATTTGACATAGGAATCGCCCAGACATTTTGATTGAACTTTATACGATGCTAGGAGAAAGGAACATTCAGTAGGACCTGCAATAGTCATCAAGTCTTCTTTAAATGACAAAACCCCAGGTATTGGTGGTTTGACTCGGATCATGGTACCGTCTCCTTCTGCCCGCCCTGGAGAGGACTACTCCGGGGAACGCAATTTGATAAGCCACTCCCTAAGGGCTGAAAGAGTTAGCGGCGATTCCCCAGAGATTCTTTTGCCTACCCGCGGATCATTCTATCGGCAAGCAGTCTCGGCGGGCTCCGCCGCAATTATAAGCGGACACGAATCCAATGGATTGTCCGTAACGCAGTCCATAACTCTTCGCACGGGTTGAGAATTGTGTTCTGACGTTGATCCCTTTATGCGAGAACCCACATTTCAAGAGATGCGGGTCCCAATTGAACCGGGTACCGTGATATAAAATGAAGTTCTCCTCCAGTGCTTCTTGGCGCTCTTTCCAACCAGCCCTTAATTTTTCACGAGTGATTTTCCATATCCTTGCAGTTTACAACACCCATCCATGCGCTGGTAAGGTGCTGGAAGAGAAATGGCACATCCCGGAGAAATAACCATCCTCAACAATGGGTATTCGTACATGGCAATAAGAAGCCATGGAAAGAGACATTCAGACTGATACAAAGCTACATGGCATAGACAATGAAAACTTCTCGATTGAAGCGAAGGTTATACACCGTTAATTTGTAAGTAAGCGAGGAATTGAGAAACAAAGTTCAAAGCCATATCCTAGGTGTATCCTCTAGACCGATCCGTGAGTTCATGAGCTCGTGCAACATATCAAGACAGATTTAGTCCTGTCCACAGGACGATTTCTCCTCCTTTCGATTTCTCTTCTGTCGCCACTTGATTCCCTTAGCCGCAACTACCCACAAGCAAGGAGAAACAGCAATGGAGATCAAAGCAAGCGTGGTGTACGCCCAGCCCTCGCCCATGGCAGAGCGCATAGGGCTGATTGCTGCTGACGCCGCGGCACCAAGCTCACACCGGAATAGATTGTTCGCTGCAGTCGCGGCCGCCGACTTGCCCGGCCAGAGATCGACCATCAAGGCATTCAGCACTTGGGAGGTACCAATGATCGACCATCCGGTAATGAACAAAAGAATGATAGGAGCGGCAAGGTTGACCTTGTGACCCAACACCCAGCCGTAGGTCAGCATCGACACATTGCTAATATAGTAAAGCGGGAGTGCGACTTCCAGTCTCGCGCGCTCGACGTTGAAGTTGCGAATGTCCGCACGCACATTTTTGACGATGGTGAGACCAGCACGTTTTGCATGGCGGCGGTAGTTCCAGTCGACCAGTCGGCCGGTTGTGAAGGCTGAAAGCACCCCTCCTCCGCCGATGGGGAGGTACATCAATGCAGCATGGAGGTCGTTGAAGTGATAGATCTTGTGGAAGGAGGTCGACGCACCAGTCATGACAGCATAGAAACCAGCAAACATCAATCCTGTGGTGATTAGGACGACTGACGTCTCGATATCCAGGACAACCTTCATAGTCGGGACTGGTGACGGGAATCGAAGGGAGTAGTTCTTCCGCACCTCGGCTTCCTTGTCCGGGTCAGGCAAGAGACCCTTCTGTTTGCGCGTGCGATGCCGGATAATATCTGCCACAGAGTTACTCAAAGGGGGCGGTGGGATGGACCCGTCTCCAACGACTTTTCGACAAGTTTCCGGTAGGAATAGACCGAGGATGAGGAAGAACACGCCGCCGAAGATGAGCAGAAACCAGAAGATCCAGTGCCAGTTAGTGTACTGACTGAGAAGGCCGCCAATGATGGGCGACAAAGAAGGACCTAACATGCTTCCGACTGAAGCAAAGGCGATATATGAGCCTCGTTCCGCGGATGTGATCATGTCTGCGACCAAACCGTTCGCCAGGGCCACAGTCCCGCTGCTCCCTGCGCTCTGGAGACATCTGAGGACCAGCAGGGCAGCATAGCTGTTTTGGAGACCTAGTCCCAGGTTGGCTGCAAGGTAAATTGTGAAGCAAATGATGTAAGCGGGACGACGGCCGGCAGTGTCCGAGAATCCTGCGATCAACATAGGTGCCACTCCCTGCATAATCTAGAAATAAACTTCGTCAGTTGTAGGTCTCTTTAACAAGCTTATGTTTCGTCCACTTACCAGGTAAGTAGTGACTGTCAGGTTCACCTGTGAGACGGAGATATTCAGGGAATTCGCGATAGTGGTCAAGGCAGGCAGATATATGCTGGAAGACAAGGGTGAGAAGAAACTGGCCAAGGATCCCATGGCAACAATAGCCCGCTTCTGGGCTACCGTGAACTGGGAATACCCTTCCAGGCGCATGTCTCCATGCTGGGTTGACGGGTCAGGTGTTTTGGTCTCAACCTCGTCACCGCGCTCTTGCGCCATGTTGCCTTTGTCCATTTGATTCATGAGGTCGGGGATTTAACTGACCATGTGGTAGAACCGTGGAAGATGCGTTTAATATAACCCGATGGTTTTGATACTTGCCCGGTGCAGGGAAGTCAACCAATTAGAGTTTGTCGTCAATCCCGGGGCCGGCATCGACCTGAACTCAGCCTTATATTAGGTGCCTTGCTCTTGCCACTATTTAGTTCATGCAACCATATGTACAACCCGTACTTGTGTTCATAGATTCCAGGAACGACTTGCTTGTGATACGTATTATTCTTCTTTCTTGTGGCCTTGAATGTTATATTTGCTCATGCACTCTCGTGTCGATTACAGACTCGAGTGTTCAAAGTACATACATGTACACATCGACAATAATATATCTCGAAGACAACATGACGATGCTTGTGCTCATGGTCATATGTACTTCAGCTATGGGTCAGCATCTGCTTTCGAGCTATCATCGTTGGAATAGACTCACACCGGAGCATTAGAAGTATAAATGATGTCATCTCTCATCACAAAGACATTATTTGCGGAGAAGAATGACATCTTGGCAAATCAAGATTTGCGGAGACAAAGCGATTCCGGGGCCGCGGAGTTGGCTTCCGCGCAAACTTTCCGCTTCGTAGAAAGGAAGAAACGAGACAAGGTAGACAAATATCGGAAGCAACCAAAGCATACCCGGTGAGATGGATGCATAAACAGCTGAGTCCTCGGACTTCGTTCCTTATTCTCTTTTCCTTCTTCAGCTCCGGTGCGATAGTCCAATTCGGTTATTGACCTGTAGTTCGTGAATCGTTGTTCAATATACAGACACGAACTTGCCCAACGATGTTGCAATAATTCTCCCCGAGAAGGTACATATCTATTCCTAACTGAAGTTCCTAATGGGAGGTAGGAATAAGATGCCATCCCAGACTTGTTAGAAGTTGCAGTTGGATTCTTCTTAATTGGCTATAACGATGTGTCTTATTGATCCTTATCCAAAGCATGGCTTTATATATCCACTCTGTTGCCCCTAAAGTAGTCGAGAACAACTTCCACGATTCTCCCTTATCTCAGCAGCTATCGGCATTCGAGTCTTCTCTCGGTGGTTCCTGTGTGCTTCATACTTCCAGCCCAAAGTGTACGATAGCACCGACTTCTTTGCTCGGTTCAATCTCACATTTTCTGGTGCTTTTTTCAAGTATATGGGCGCTGAAACTGTTAGCAACGCCGCAGTCTCCAACTATACGGATTGGATAAGGGTCCTTCATAATGACCGTCCTTTCATCGGTTTTTCCATTGCCGAAATTGCTGGCTGGCCTAGCTCAGTCGAGTGGATGCGCTATCTGCTATAAAATGGATGTTTCGGGTCCGAGCCGACAGCAAATTAGCTAACTGGGTTGTTATCAGGCCACCACGGCCAAGAACTACGGCGCTGCCTTCAACAGAGTCGGTATTTATATCACATAAGCAAGCCTTTCTACAAATTTTCTATTTATTTCCCCACAGCGCCGGGGCTAGGCGGTGATTAATGCCGGCGCTGCGGACCTGGATGTGGCGAAAGTCGGCCGTCCCTTCGCTAACTCCGAGGGCAATACCTGCAAAATTGCCGAGGGATTCAAAAGCAACTGTATTTCATTTAACATCAGTTTCCGCGGAGGCTGTAAATTCTATTCAAATTGCAGTGAAAGCGCATTCACTAACTTCTACAGAAGCTTCTAGAGAATTCTCAAAGGACGAGATCTGCGCCAGTCTGACCGACAACCGCAACGATTGGGTCAGGTACAATCCAGACGCCTTTAAAAATGCTTACTGGCTGGTGAACCCGGCCAAGATCTATTCCCGAACAACTAAACTTTGGAACCCGAGGCCGGAATGAATACCAAGCTGAACTGTCATACTTTCCCATGTGCCTAGCAAAGGCTGTATGTACCTATGCTTAGGGATCTAGGAAATGGGACAAAAATATGAGAACTTCTCACATCATTCCTCCGCATTTTCGGTCTAATCCCCGTGAATGCTAGTACAAGGTCGTCAGGTAGAACAATCTATATAAGTGGACCTGGCCGAGCCCCAAAACACGCTAATCTCGATGTAGGCAAACCGGGGGCTGATGTACAACTGTTGTAGATGCCATCCAATCACATGCGAGCCTCCTAGCCACCAAAGCCAAAATCCCAGACTGGACTGAGAAATACGCTGAGTGCCCAAAAGCGGCATGCCAGGACCATCCCCGCCGACCCACTCGAGGGAAAATGCGGAGGTCAGAGAAAGCCATGGCATCGGATAATTGTTCAGAGCGGATAATTTCCCAACTTCCTTCACGGACTATGTAGCGCCCATCGGTTCGTACTTTCCTTTCCGGACCGAGTCTAACCCGAGCCCAACGCAAACTTACCGGGACGTGCAAAACAACAATGGCTTTCTTTCTTCGGATTGCCGATGTCAATACACATAAATCGGGTAAAAGCCCCCAGACTTCGCCCCGCCATGGCAGTCGTACCACACGCGGTAGGTACTGGCCGAGCCCGCATTCTGGCCCTGAACCCCGGTTTTCGCACGCTGGTAGGGGGAGGCCATGTTGTATCGGCGCTGGTGACTGGTTTGCTATCTCACGTTCCCCATGTTCCACCGGAATATAACCGAATGCGAAATGGCACTCCTTGCTTTTCAGGGCTGCTTTTCGGTCGATCCCGGGGGGAGGCATCGTCTATTGGTGATTCGGAGTAGCGCCGTGTATGTGACTAGGAAGTACGGGATGCATGCAAAATCTTTAAAAACCTCGGGGGATCGTCTCTTTTTTTTTCTCTCCGCACTTTTGATCTCATTTTACCCCACGGGCAAGGGTCTGCTTATCTTTTCTGCTCTTTATTCCTATCCCGGTCTATACAACTAGATCTTTAATGCGACAAGCCTAGAACACTCGCTTCATCCCTTTCGACTGCGTTCAAAATGTGTGACAAAATCCCCTCGTGGAATGTCGTCCATAGACTGGAGAAGCGCCAGCTTCTCATCGGGATCAACTGCGTGGCTGCTCTGTCTATTTTGTTCTTCGGATACGACCAAGGAATGATGGCCGGTGTCAACAACGCAAAGGATTATATTGATCTCATGGGATTCGGTCATACGGAGATAGTGGACGGCGAGGTCACTCCGGTGGTCACGAATTCCCTGCTGCAAGGTGGGATTGTGTCTGTCTACTATTTGGGAACGCTTTTTGGCGCATTGTTCGGTGGCTGGCTCGGAGACCGGACGGGAAGAATCAAGACCATTGCAGCTGGTTCTCTATGGGCTATCCTGGGCGCGACTCTACAGTGTTCGGCACAGAACCACAATTGGATGATTTGCGGTAAGGGGAACAGGGTTCAGTAGATGCAGACTTGGACTAACTTTCGCAGCGCGTTTCGTTAATGGTATTGGAACCGGCATTTTGAATGCTATTGTTCCTGTCTGGGCTACCGAGACGGCCGAACATACTTCGCGCGGACAATTCATTGCTATTGAATTTACATTGAACATTTTCGGTGTTGTCCTGGCTTATTGGTTGGAGTTGTACGTAAATCCCTCCCTTTATGCGATGTCTTTCTAATATCCGATAGTGGCCTGTCTTTCATTGACAACGGAGAGTCAGCCTTCCGCTGGAGATTCCCCATCGCATTCCAGATCATCTTCCTCCTAAGTCTCTTTGGGGCTGTCTGGTTCTTCCCCGAGTCACCTCGATGGCTCGTCAAGGTCGGCCGGGAGGAAGAGGCCCGCTACATTCTCCAGCGTCTACGTGGATCTAGCGGAGAGGACCTCCTCCGAGCAGAAGCCGAGTTCCAGGATATCCAAAGCATCGCAGAGCTGGAGCGGACAATGAATCACGGCGACTCATATCTGTCTATGCTGGTTGGTTACAAATCGGGAGACCTCCATATCGGCCGTCGTGTACAGTTGGTCATTTGGCTACAGGTCATGCAGGAATGGGTTGGTATCGCAGGAGTTACTGTCTACGCACCGACCATCTTTGGTATTTCCGGGTTTGATTCGATGAAGAGTCAATGGATCAGTGGACTGAACAATATTTTCTACATGGTATGTTTCAAGGCTGAGAAAGACCGAGCTGTGCTAATGCGCATATCTAGTTTGCTACGCTAATTTGTGTCTTTACTCTGGATCGCATCGGTCGTCGGTGGACTTTGTATTGGGGCGCGGCTGTCCAGGGTATTGCCATGTTCCTTGCGGGTGGATTTTCCCGTCTCGCTATCGACAACAAGGCAGCCGGTGATATGGGCAAGGCATCCTCGTATGGTGCTGCCGCGGCTTCGATGATTTTCATCTTTACCTCTGCGTTCGGAGCTTCGTGGCTCACAGTCCCTTGGTAAGGAACCATCCCATGACCTTTTATTCAATGCTAATTCCTGATTTATAGGGTCTACCCGGCTGAAATCTTCCCCCTGGCCGTTCGTGCACGTGGAAACGCCTTTGGAGTTGTCGGATGGAGTATTGGAAATGGATGGCTGGTGAGTGAACGCCTTTTAATGAATACAAGACCGATATGCTGACGGAACGTTAAGACTCTACTATGTCCCGTCATGTTCAGCGCCATTGGCGAAAAGACACTTTACGTCTTCGCCGCCAGTAATGCCCTCGCCATTCCCATGGTGTGGGCTCTATACCCAGAAAGCAACCAGCGCACGCTAGAGGACATGGATCTGCTATTCGCGGCGAAGACGCCCTGGACCTGGGATGCAGAGAAGACCTTTGCGCGCCTCAAGGCAGAAAACCCAGGCATGGTGCAGTCTCTCGGTCCCAAGGGCAGTCTGTTGGACCCGGAGACCGGAAAGCCACTTTCTGTTGCTGCAGCTGTTGCGGCTTCCAAGGCTGGTGATAATGCTGCAGGAGCGGAACATGTAGATCACGCTTAGATGAGGGAGGACTTGATGATGTGGTGTTTGGTGATTTTTGATGTTTGATGAATAACCAACTAATAAATTAGATGGATGTATGGCTTTAGACTGTGTATCTTATCCCTAGAATATCAAAAGATCATGAAAGAAGGATGCTATTGACCGAACCACTCTGATTGGCCACTTTGAGAACAACATCCATCAACTCTACAGTTCGAGCTTTACAGCCTTTTTTCCCCCTCTGACCATTTCTCTCTCTCCAAATATTCATTATCAACACAAGTCCCTACCACATCTCTTCGCATCAACACTCACGTGGTAAGTAACACAATCCCTACGCGTCGCGTCGCGTCGCATCGTTCCCGGCTAAATATAAAATACAACAGAGATCCAAAAAAGGCCTGGAACCCAAAACCAAAGCGGATAGCAACATAAAAAAGATCTACCAACATCCTACGTTGTACACGAAAGGGTCCTAAAATCATGTCCCTCTCCGCCCAACCCGCAGATCCAACCCCAGACCAGCAAGACCCCCAACCCCACAACTCCCTTCAACCCACACTACCCACAGCGCAAACCAAAAAATATCTCCACCGCATATCCCTGCACCCAACGCTAACCCCCTACCGCCGGCGCGTGTACCGCACGCTCCTCTCCGTCCCGCCGGGTCGGTGGACCACGTACTCGGCGATGGCGACGTATCTAGGCTCCAGTGCGCGGGCGGTCGGGAACGCGATGCGCAGTAACCCCTTTGCGCCGGAGGTGCCGTGTCATCGGGTTCTTGCAGCGGATGGGTCGTTGGGTGGGTATAAAGGGGAGTGGAAGGTTGATGGGCATAAAGGTGGTGGTGGGTTTTGCGAGGAGAAGAGGCTTAGGCTTGAGGAGGAGGGGGTTGTTTTTTTGGATGGGAAGGTTAGGGGGATTTGTTTTAAGGAGTTTGTGGATTTGGGGGCTAAGTGAGTTTGTTTTTTTGTGGAGATTAGAGGTGTTCTTGAGTTGGTGTTGATGGTTGAGGCTGTATATATCCTGAAACTGATTTATGGATTCTCTATGTACGTTGGTGAAGATTCTGAGCCGGAAGGCCTACGCGACACTCCAGAGCGATATGCCAGGGCCATGTTCTATTTCACCAAGGAATACGAGGACAATATGTCAACCAGAAAATAAACCCATTAGACCCCTAACAATTACCTTGGTTTTTGTAATGGTCTAGTGGTATAGTTAATACGTCGTATTTGTTCAACACAATATTCTAGACCTGGTCAAAGGGGCTGTTTTCCACGAGAATCACGACGAGCTGGTTATTATGAAGGATATAGATGTTATTTCCACCATATTGTTCCTTTCACTGGAAAGGTACAAGCTTCTACGTCCAGCTCTGTCGTACAACACTGACCATGTGAGGCAGATGCACATCGGTTCGGTTACATCCCCGATCGTCACGTCCTCGGTCTCTCTAAACTAGCCCGTTTGGCTGAGATATTCCTCGCAGACTTCATATTCAGGAGCGCCTGACTAAACAGGTTGCTCGAGCTATTTCTGGGGTACTGAAACCGCAAGGGGTCGGTGTTCTTATGCAACCATCCCACCTTTGTATGGCCATACATGGTGTACAGAAGGTGGGTAGTACCACCATCACCGGTTGCATGTTGGGATGCATTGCAATCATGTGAAATAGATAGGGAAGAATTCTTGGCGCTCTTGCACAGAATGTAGCCAATCACTACCCATCGGAGATACTTTGGCTACATTACGTACATCCACTGTCACAACCGTTTGAAGTATAATAAGTAAATTATTTAGGATTCGACAATACCTACTTTGGGTGCTCCCTAAAGACGTCCCGATATCCTAGGGCTTCTGCCTTCCCTTCAATGAACGAAGAAAGATCAGCCACCATCTGGTCAATATACTCCTGTATCCACGTACTTTGGAAGATACGGGAATATTCTATATTACACGTAACACAATGTTGTGTGGCATGTAAAGTATGCAATGTGCGAAAAATTTCCCGCGGATGGTGCGATAAACCCAATAATATTTTGGGATCATGTATATTGCGAGGCAATGGCCATTTTCTGACGTGGTACCAATTGACGCAATGTCCCAACTACCCCTGTTTACCGGTAGCTTTGACCGGCTATTGAAGAATCTCCCAACGTGCACTTTTCCTTTTTCGGTAGTATAAACAGAGTAGTGTTTTAATTCAATTAGGAACTAGATCTGCAGCCTGAGCGTCCAGCATGGAATCACTTCTGCTCGGTATCTCTCAAGCATTTTACTAGACAGCCCTGGATCAGTCATCCTCTCATGTATCCATGGATAGATGACGAGCCTTTGGATGGGGGGGAAAATTTCACATACTGTTTTATAATCAACCCTGCCGTATTCAGATGTTTTCTTGTCATATTATGTATTAGATGAACCCTCACAACGTTACCTGGCTGATAATCTGTTCCATATATTTGAGTTTCATCTTACCCTTTATACTGCCTGCGCTTCTATAACGGCGCTTACAATAGAATAGGCCTGTCTTGATATTTTTCAGCCGTGAGTTCGTAGTGATTGCTTTGCATCGAGGCAGATGACTGGGTCGCGAGCTGTGTGCGTCAGTCTGTAATATTCGATTTTAGATATATATGTACGTCGACAAATCTTAATGTAGTGCATGTAATGTAAGCCTGCTTGTATAAGCTAATCACTGCTCGTTTAGTTATTAGTATAAATCTACGCCTCCTTCCGGTCTTCCGCAGTCTTTTGATACGCATGCATCATCTATTACCGCTATTTGTCTGTACCTAGAGTGAGCCTATGAATCCCGATCATGGGCGATACTGCCGAGCTCGAATTGTTTCGCCGACGGTGGCGCGAGGAGCTCTTAATTGAATCGGACCCCAGGGCTTCTCCTGCTGCGGCTTTGGCCTCAACTGCCCCGTCTCGGACTAAGAATAAAATGTCTACTACGACATGTTCGATGTATCAATCTCTTCACGATGAGGTATCGAGCTTGCTAGCCGAGGTAGATCTTCATTATCAGTTTTTCGAGGAAGACGATGAGACGAAATGCACTCGAATGCCTGACACAAATATTATGGGCCGTTTTGTATGCAACAAACGAGCATGCAAGTCCAGAGGATGGTCTAGCAACAAGATCGCTATCACAATTCGTCTTTATCCAGAGCAAAAGTACAATGCCAGGGTATACCACCAACGCTGCAAAGCTTGCAGCTCGCTGAGCCGGCCGGTTTTGGATCAGTCATATGCCGAGAGAATCGTTTACTGGATTAAACAATAGAACGGAATTCGGGTAGAGAGGCCTCCATTATCCCGCGAAAGACGAGGTCCTCATAACAGTCAGCTTTGTGAGGGGTGTAGAGCTGGGCACTGCTCCCAATCTGGGGAGGATTGGGCTATCTAGGAATGTTTGTCTCCCCTAAACCAACACATATGACTGAGTTACTAATTGATTGCCAGGTTGACTCTGTAGCGAGCCGGAGGTCTATGGTTGATTGCAGGAATATAAACTGTCAGAATCTGGGATGAATACCGTCATTTTTTCATCCTTGATACAGACGGGTCACATGATTGACCAGTTTGGTTTTTCGGGCGAAAACATACTTCTTCATTTCATTTTGTTTGTTCTTTGTCAAGAATGGGATATGGCCCCTCTAGGCCCTAAACAAGAACCTTGGTTTTTGTTATGGTCTAGTGGTAAATTACGCTGTACGAAATTCGACATTCTTGATTACTGAGTTATTGTCCACAAGATTGTCATTTTCCCGGACTATTGTCATTTTGAGAGTGAGAGATTTTATTGAGATTATTCTGCCACGTATACACTCGCATTACCACCGTTTTTCCGTCACAAAGCCATAAGTGAGCGCATCGGCAAGGACAGCATGTGACGCGAAACATCCATACGTCAGTTGCTGACTACACAAAATTTTCGTTAGTACTAAAAACCACACCACCTAACTAAGGCGGCTGATGTTTAATGACAGCTATTCTTTGCAATTGGAAAATTGAATCTACCTGGTTCTCAGAGCATCGTTCCAGCTCTGCCATGATCCGCATGCTAGCTCTAAACCCCGTTATCAACTTCTATGTTACCGGGAGGTTGTCGTCTAAATCATACATGTATGTCTTTCCACAACCCGTCGGCATCTGAATGTTGGAACGTCAATGTGAGGGCTCGATACATAGGCATAGAAGACAAGTCTTACCACTGCTATGATGTTTTTTTCCATGCTCATTTCGAACATTTCCAGCTGATAGCTACGTGGCTGAAGATCGACCATATTTGAGAAAACGTGAATAAGTCCAATATGCGGCAACAGGAGTGATTTGATGCCCCTGACTGCTGGCAGTTACGACTTTTTAATCTTCTACGGTCGAATGCAGTTTGTTACTTATGGTCTGCTTTTCGCGCGATATGTGATCACGATGCATATGATACGTCAAATCTGCACTCCCGGTGCCAAACTTCCTCCGGGAATAACCAATCACGTTCTGCGACGTGGATATGCGCTGTTCTATGCAAGAGTGTCCAGTCGGCCAGATGCACGGTTTGCTGGGGATGACACATTTTCCTTTCGCCAACATGGCCATATTTCTATACATAATGAACAACTGATGCCAAACCTCGCCTTTGCCTAATTTAATAACCGTTGCATCTGGCACCTTATCACAATCATCTTCTTTATCTTATTATTCGTACACTCGACATGAGCAAGGATTCTGTGGAATTCATTCGAAAGCTAGTCGCTTGTCCAGAATTAACCGATTCGGACATAGACGTTGCGCTGACCGCTGCTGGAGTAGACGAACTTCTGCCGGATGGAAACAGAATATTAGCCCAATTGGGCTTGGCGGCGACCGGGTTCTTGATTGATTCCAGCATTGCCTTTATTACGTTATCTCGAGGTATCCATTGACAATCTGTTGCGAGTCTTTCCAAACTGACACCCTCGAGATTTTACATCGAAGCTCAAATCCCGTGTCAACGGTATCCAACACCGTGCAGACATTGCAAAGCGTACTGGCATCGACAAGCACTTGAAATTTGATTGTCGGCCTGGTGCTCGCTCGTCCGGCGTTCTTGCTATAGCGACAAGTGCCCTTATCGGAGCTATATACCTCAGGAAAAAATGTTTCATGTCCGTGGCCAAGGGACTTTACTCTCTAGGGTAGGTCTACTCTAGTAACCCCGGGAATATGTCAGATAAATCCCTAATTGCGCACAGCGTCCTAGACGAGCACCTTGACCAGCTCAACTTAATGGGAATATTCAAAGACGAGCAGACAAATCCGCTGCTTTTGCCTTCCTTGGTGGAGAGTGACCCTGCCCAGACTAGCGAAATCGATACTTGGAGTCAAGATATTCCCCCTTTGCCGGATTTTCCGACCACTCCGGATCTAGGGGGCTTGTCTAACTATACTATGAAAGACTCTACAATGAGAATGGATGATTGAAAGATATCCTTCCAGATGGACTTTCTTTCACCGGCTCGCGTTCGCAGTCTCCTTTAGCTGACGACCCAGGTCAACGGGCGTTAGAGAGGCAGGTCATTGGGATTTGCCATCCTATTGCGTATCAAGAAATGCACCGTGGAAGACTCCATGAGGTAGAAATCCCGCCTGAACAAGCTGAACAGCATGCTCTTCCTCGCAGAATAAACGATCACCTCTCTATTAGTGTTGACTTGTACCAGCCAGATGGCTTCTCAGGCCAGCCCGCGAACCAACGGTCCTCAAGTCAGCGTTTCCCACGCAAGCGAGAAAACGCTAGTGGTAAGGAAGTACAAAAGAGAAAGTCTAGATGCGTTGATATTGAATTCAGATCATCACTGTGTCGAGAAGCTGAAATGACTCGGGCTCTGGGTTTACCGCCCCCCGGAGATACTTATTTCAGGCCCAAAATCGAGGACAAGCTACTGAGTCTGGGTTCAGAGATATTTTCCAGTCTAAGTACCTTTTTAATTCTGGTTGGTGGCTCTCAATCACTTGTTACTCTTCGAGCGGCCCTAAAATATACGAGAGAGCTGGGGGACCAAGGACCTAGCGTTCAAAGGCGAAGATGGGTATCACGTGAGCTGACCATTCACGAACGCTTCGAAATCATCGGCGAAATTCAAGACAACGCGGCGTTTCCCCAGATCTTACGATGTAACCATATCCTGCATTTCTACCGATGCACCTGCAGTCCGGTGGGGCGCACCTCAAAATTCATAGAGTTAGCGTCCAAGGATGAGCTTATTGGCCAGCTGAGAACAAGAGGCAATCCGAGGAAGATGGAAGTGGCTAAAGCAGTCAACGAAATGATGAGGGATGTTTTCCCCGACCTGGAGCCTAACTCAGCTGTTTACAAGAGCAGGCGCCGAAAAATGTTGGGATTTCGAAAATTTGGACAACGCCTACACATTCTAGCAGACTGCTTTGGGGATGCTGTTCTAAGCATACTTCATTTCGATCGGTCCGGTGACGTGGGCGGCCCTGTGATTATCGAAAAAATGTGAGTCTATATCACTATGAAATCGTGGCGAGATGTAAACTGACCATGCAAGTATTCTTGCTCCGTCGGATGAGGCATTTGAAAGTTTTGTGAAGGTCCTCGAAGAATCGCAAGGAAATCTTCTTCGGGAGATTAGCAAGGCAGCTGAGCAAGCTTTTAATCATATTTTTTATGAGGATACGAGGCGGCAAAATCTTTTCGCTTTAGAAACACTGGCACCGGAAGAGATCCTGAAGTTTCCAAAAGGCTAGCAAGAGCTCAGAAATCTCTTGCAATAGTCACGTTTCCTTTCGAAAGAGCAAAAAAAAGGCGAACTGTTGCTTTCGGGACACGGTGAGGAGGAAGGGATTCGTATATGATAGAAAGTTTGCAGATCTATTTTCTTATTGTATTGAATTAAATCAGCACTCTGTATATAATACTGTAAAAAGAAAAGGGTACATCAAGACGCCGCCAATAGCCAGTCTTTAAGGAGGCTACTAACTAAGTGTTGAATTTCCTTATTTCTGGCACGGAGACTACCTCCCTCACGTGTGATACAACTGGCTACCGTATCTCTCCACAGTACATTTCACAGTGTGTATGATGAAATTTCCTTTCCCGTTAATTGAGACCATGTGGGAAACTTGGATATATCAAGTAATGGTGCGACAATAAAAGCTGGTGGTGCATTGGCATGGTACATATGCGACCTAGCGAATGCATAACCGTACTACTAGGTGGGTTATCTAGGGGAAGAGGCGGTCTCTGAATTCAAAGTCATAAGGAATTCTAATATGTGAGTCCCACAGGTTGCCCGCATGCAAGCTGAGTCGTTCAGCATCGATACCGACCACCAATATGCGTTTCTAAAGATAAAACATGTAGATCCTATCCCACAGAATATTTATTAATGGTACGTTTAAAAGAGCTTGCACATGCAACCGGGCCATTTCTGCCTTCATATTAAGTTTCATAGTAACCTGCAAACTACGACTGTAGATCCTTTGGGAGTTTGTATAGTTCCATGTTGGTCGCGGTTGTATGTACGAAATAACTACTGAAAGCACAAATCTTCAAGTGAGAAAGTAGTTCGTCTAGCGAATGCAAACAATGCTCCGTCCACTATCCCATGTGATCTTTTTCCTAATCATAACTTTGAAGGGTTCATGTTGGACATTCATGATATTGCCATCCTCTCCAACGAGATGCGCTGATGGAGCGAACACAATCGCCTCGCCAGTTCGGAGCCTGGCAATTCGAGAGAGACCTTTTCTAGCACCGTCGGCCTGATGTGGAGCCATTTCACCACCCATCGGAACATGCTTTTCGATCGTCTTGTACCATTGAGGGCTCGTAAATCGGTGGATTACGGTCAACGAGCAGAGGTCGATCAGCTGGGGCGAGATCGTCGGCTCTTGCGTGGAAATAATTATACGCACACCCAAGTGTCGTTGCTGGCGGATATTGGTTAGGAAAGTCTCGGTAAGCGCCTTTGCAGCGAAGGTGTCGGCCATATACTGCCCGCCGATGTTAATGAATAATGATCAGGATACCTCAATATGAACAAGTCACCTTGTGGGCCTCATCAGCCACGATCATCTTCCCTCGGGAAGGGTGAGCGTAGAGGAACAAGTCAATGGCGATACGGAATAGAATGCAAGCAGTGCTTTGGTCGACGAAAGGGCACGACAAGTCCAGGATAGTGACACCGCCGTCAATAAAGTAGTCACTTGTGTCCGTGCCAGCAAGGTCGAGATAAGAGTCAAGCAGGTCTAATCTTTGATATAGAAAAGGAGTCTGAGAACGGTCAAGTTTGAGTGCGTTCAGACGGCCCCGGAAGTCAGAATAATCAAAGTAGCCGCCGCTCTCCATCGCCATTTCCCGAAGCATCCGAGTAACCTGTGCCATGTAGAGGGGGAGACTGCCAGATTGAGAAACAGACATAAGCGAAAGCACCATGCTTATGTTGAGGTGCTTAGGTTGAAGCTTGAACGGTCGAATCTCGATATTGGGAATCTGGGAGTACATGCCCTTGGGATTAGAAATATTTGTGGGGGAGACTAGGACGCGCAGTGGGACCGGCGGTGCATGAGCATATTGCGGTAGAACACTAGCTAGGAAGGCGGCTTCGCTAGGCTGCGAGCTCGTTATTGACATATACTCGTCAAACTGCAGCACAAGAGTCGATATAGACTGGTTTAGGGTTCCCAATGCTGGCAGCCTCATAGAGCAATTTTCTAAGGTAATATCAATGACTGGTGCCCTATGGGTAGAATTCGAAATATACCGATCATGCAAGCAGTGGTGTGCGACTTGCCACTCCCTTGCACGCCGCAGATAAAGGCAGAGAATGGAATATTCGCATTCAACATTATTCTGCAATCTGGGGATTCATTCCCTCTGACAATGTTTCCGAGCAGCATACATTGAGAAGGGAGAGAATATCCGAACCTTTCTAACAAGGGAGATACCAGGATGGCATGCTCATTGGGTATAGCATCCATTGCTTCTTCCCTTTGTTCTTCACTGGAGCTCAGGAATTGACACTGTGCCTCTAGGGAGGGGAAGGACGGAGAGGCCCCCGTTTCCCTCGTATGGAGATCGCCGGCAAGGTGGTCCTTGAATTCTATTAGAACCTTAGAATACCGCAAAGTCAGACACAAAAAGGATGGAAGAGGAAGCTCTACCTTGTAGACGGATATTGACTATGCGGCCAATATCATTGTCGATGACCGAGTTCGCCGCCTCATAGTTATCGAGGCCTGCATCGAGGTGGCTCTGAGACTGTTGACCTGTACCTATATAGAGCGCGTTAGCCAAGGCCATTTATGTTGTACCGTCCCTCTAATATTTTCTGTGATATACCGGATGATAGAGGATGCCGGCCCTGACCTTGGAGACGGGACCGCTGTGAAAGAGTGGGAGCGGACAATGGTATGTTTTGGACTTGAGCTGATCCTGGGGTTTCGATTCGATTGTCGCTTCTCGACAACAAATCGAGTTCATTCGCATAGCTTAGGCTCTCTTTAGGAACTGGACATATAGGTTAGAGCGCTGTACTTACCTGTCCACAAATGCTCTGATAAAATCAGCTTGATTCGGGTTCTTTTCTAAGTATCTTTTCTTGATGGCTTCTCGATCGATCGCCTGGTTTTGTAGGTGACGAGTATAGATAGAGTCACCAATCGCCTTCTCGAGGAGAGCCTCAGTCCACTTATTAGTTTTTCGTGCCATTTTTGATAGATACTCCAGGGGATGAAAAGACGCCTGATGAAACGATGCTAGAAGACGAATTAGCAGTGTACATGGGAGACGTAATTATAGCAGTGCAAAAGATGGTTGCAGGGTATGGGGGTATTGGTGCTTTTAGCCACACGGAGTCACAAAAGCCATGATTCTACTGCAGCCAAACCTACGCATTACTTGAACGCTAGCGCCAAGTGATCTAAGTATATATGTATGCATCCTTACTGTCACTAGACTTTTCATGGTGAGTGCAGACAAAACTGGCTGTCAAATTTGGTCCACATATCTCTTACTGCGACTTAGGCCGTGCCCGCTCGTTTGGGATGGTGCGGTGGCTTAAAACTTACCAATTCACGCCATACCAAGGTAATTCATGTGACGATGCATGCACCAACATGCAAAGAGCCCGACGGAGCGCGACAAGCGGCGCCCGATTCGGAAAATCCAATAAGGGTTACTTTAGAGAGTGGATGTTGCGAACTATCAGGCAGCCTAGGCTTAGACTGGCTTTTCCTTATTAGGTATTATAGACATGGTAATGTTTTAATTCCAAGTTGATTTCCAATCAACTTGGCCGTCCGTATAGACACTTCGGAGCTAATTCCGACGGTGCGGCTTGGTTCCTGATCTACACCAGTTCAACGCTGACAGCTCAGAATGTTAAGCCCCCACCAAATCACTGAAGTAAGGAGCAACCATGTCAGAACATTAGAGAGGAAGTTGGAAAGCCAGAAAGGAAAAGAACAGGAAAATTATTCCACAACACTTTTCGTGCCGGTGGCTTAATCGCAAAATAAGGCCGGTGTAAATATGCGCAGAGTAGTCCAGGACATATCAGGTATTAAAGAGGGAAATGCACGATGGGCAGCCTGGCCATGCAGGCAAGACGAGAACGACACAGCACCACCAACCATCCAGGACGGTCAGCTAGCAAGCATAGGGATCACATAGACCACACCATAGTATACAATCTCCTAGTACACAAACATCTCGCAACTCGTTTTTCATTTCTGGGGTGATGCTCCGTCTAGACTATTTGCTCCCCGAAACTCTACTTGGCAACCAGGCTCTCGTTTTCTCTGCCTGAAGGACAAGGCCAATAAACTAGGGATTCCGACTTTCCCCACTGCAGTATGTACATTGGGGCAGTACAATCAGTGGAAATGGTGACAGGCATTAGCAAATTACAAGATAATTGTCGAGTATGTTATCGGCAATACAATGTGAAGGCGTTAATTTACGCTCAAATGAATATTCCATATTCCATTGCTCGCACGTGCTAAGCATCCCCGCGCACAACCATCTCATAACCAAACAAATCCTATAGCGAGTTACCAATCCAAATAAGTGTGCGAGTCTCCAAGTTCTCCACTGCCTCTCAAATATCTTAGAACCCCACAGCATCAAGGGCTCTACGACCCCGATTTGTTCACAGGTGCTGTTATAGCAACACGCCGAAGTTTAGCCGGCTCTGCTTTGATACTGCTCGGAAGGGCTTCATCCCGGTCAAGTGCTACAGTAGGTCTCCCAGTATTAGGGCTTTTCTCAGTCACTTCTGGGCCATGCACAGAGTCTTTCTGTGTGACAGTGGCAGGAATGGTGTTTTTCCATCGAGAATAAAGATCCTCCGGGAGTACCTTCCTTCGCTCGATCTTCTTGATCAAGAGTTTGTCTTTCAAGGGATCATAGCGAATAGTTGAACTCCCACCCCAGTTTCTGGTCATTCGTAATATGCAATTAATCAATCCAACGAGTTTTGTGATGGTATCCTGGTGGGTCTTTTCCCAGTCCTTCACCGCGGCAGTGACATCTTCGACTTTCGGCGTCGAAAATATTCCACGTTGATGGTGAGCACGGACAAGTTTGGGAGTTTGAGAAACCCAGAGCTGAGCAGCAACTTCTGCTAGCTCCAGGGGTTTGTGAAAAACTCGAGTTTTGATCTCTAGGGTCGATTCCCGTGATACTATCCGACCTTCCCTCTTGATGGTCAAGTTGGATTCAATAGAGGGCTCGTCCGTAGAGGCGGGTTCCGAATTGATGGACAAGGAATTCAGGATGTCGGCAAGGTTGTCCCCTGTTGATTCTTCATCCTTTACACTGGATTTCAGCTCCCTAACACATCCGTCTGTCTCATGACGCACGAGGAAACTGAGACCACCCAGTCGGTATGAAATTATACGATGGTGCCCAGTGCTGCCTTTGATCTGACTGATCGTATATGCTTTTTCGAATTCATGTCCAAAGCCCCGAAATTCGCTCGGCCCAATAACTTCAGAAGTGGCGGTTTCGTCACGGGAGAAGATTGCAGTCTGAGCGATCATATCCACCTGGATGGTGAATGCTTCGAGACCATTTTTGCTCAGAGTCGGCTTGATAAATGACAGAAGTTTACGAATGTTGTTTCGGTCGCTCACGATGTCGATTGATTTTAAGTCAAACGAGGGATTCTCAATGTAAAGGGAGCGAAATAACGGTTCCAGAGGGCTATCGGGATGACGAGCGGCATTCTGAGAAATATAAACAAGGCCACTATCTTTCTTCACTTGACGGCGCCCTGGCGGAGCGGACCACTGAGCTGGACTGCCCGGGACAGCAATGGTGGGTGTGGATGCTTCGATCCAGTTATAAGACGCCAGGTGCTTCACATCAGTAATGATTGCTTCTGCTGGAGCGAAAGATTCGAGGCCGAGGCGGGAAATCTCCTTGAGCCCCTCAGAGGCCGTTTTGAAGTCTGACATTTCCTGAAATTGATATCAAGAGAATAGGTGACATGGCAGGACCAGTTCGCTTGAGCGTTCAAAGGGGGGGAATAGGCGCATAATAAGCCACAGATTCGTGCATTCCACTCGTGACTCACTTAATCTCTAATTAGTCCCTCCGTTGGTGCCAACACACTGGCAGGGGTCGGGAGTGAATTGCAACGTGTCTGGGCTGCAATACATACTGTAGAGAACTTTTGGAACGTGATCATGATAGATCAAAGTGACGTGTCCAATGATGGGCGAATCAATCGCTGTCGACCTTCTATTAGCTTGACACATATGCTGGTGCGTTGTTCCCATGCATTAGCTTGCCTTGCTTGATCGCCTCCACGTCTGATTGGGCAACTTCGCATACTTAGGCAATACGTTCGTTCTCATACTGCATATGCTTGGGCATTCACTTCGCACAAAAATAAATACTCACTTTGGAGACTTCGGCCAAAAGAAAGAGAGGTGCCCCACTACATCTATAAGAACAGAAATGGTGGTCCATGGACCAATATCAAATTTAGAATGGTAAATTGACAGGGAACAGTTGGCCCAACTATTTATCCGGACTTTTCCAGTGTCACGATAAGTTATTTGCTCTAAACTTAGCACTATAATGTTTAATCATGATGTACAGGCACTATTTCCTAGCCGCCAGCATAAGAGACAGCCTTTGGGTATTGTCTATTTGTCAAGGTGTGTGATAGAAATTGCTGGGACTGATTCGCCAGACGTGCACTTGCACTGATTGTATTTTCGTCTCGTCGCAACTCTACAAAGCTTTTATTCGACTCAGAATGCCACATAAGTCTGCCAGCTTTACTGATGCTAATCTGACCGCTAATTCATAAGTCATTGATAGCCAACACACAATGTATCCGTAGTAGATATATCATATGTGTACAGCGACCGCTCTTAATTGACTGGAAATCCATCATTCTCTGAGTTAGATAACTCGCGAGATTTAACAATCGGTTTATCAAATGGTATATCAAATGGTATATCAAATGCGGCAGCTGGAGAAAAGCACAGAAGGCGAAAGGGTCTGAAGGTGAGAAAAGGTAGGTGATGCAGACAGCCAGTGATGCTGGGAGTGAGATGCTATGGAAGCAGTCTGCGACCTGTCTTACCGATTCATCATCCGGTGAATACTGTAGCCGTGTTCTTCAAGAAGCCAGCAGCAATGGGGTGAATGTCACCTGTAATGATTGCGCTCTGGACTACTTGGCCACTCTTGTCAATGCTCCATGGGGTCAACAACTTCTCGACCCTGCCTCCGTGAGCAGTCGCATCTCTCGCTGTTCGGCGAGTGGTTCCTATAGCGTGACGTATACTGCGAGCTCAACGCCCACAGCCACGACAACCGCTGTTGCGACTGCTGGCGATAACGTGCGGTGCAACATCACGGATCCCAGTTCGAATCTCTATGTTGTTCCCTCAACCGACACAACATGCTTGGATATTTCAACCCTCGCCAACGTATCCACCCCAGACTTGGCAAACATGAATGCTCTCGGGCCAGATTGCAGTTATTTGATGGAGGATCAGACTTTATGTCTACCCGACGTCTGCGAAATCTATATGGTCTCCTCTAACGATACCTGCACGTCTATTCTCGGGAATCTGCGATACCAGATCTCGACCCCGACCTTTCGGTCATGGAATCCCACCATCAATTCCGCCTGCTCAAATCTGCAGGCTTTGGAGGGAGAATACATCTGTATAAGGTAAGAGTCTTCAATTTTTCTCGGACGGTTTGACTGTTCCACTAACTGTCCCTAGCCCTCCTGGCACTACAGCCATCCCCAACAGCTTTGCTCTTAAAGCCGCCACAACTGCTATGTGAGTCAAGTATCCGGAATGCATGTCTTGATATCAATTAACCAAATTTAGACCTGTTCCGGCCAACGCCGTTACAACCTCCAATACTGACTGTGGATATTGGTACACAATCCAAGATAATGATAGTTGTGTCACTGTTGCGTCTATGTTTTCTATCGCGGAAAGTGACTTCTATTTTCTGAATCCTCAACTCAACAATACTTGTGACTCCCTATGGTTGGGAAACAGCTACGTAAGAACATATCTAAAAGGCTCCATTGACATTATTGACTGATTCTTTGGTCCAGTGCGTGCAAGCAGTCGGAAGCATTCAGACATACTCCGGGTATGACTCGACCACTATTAATTCGCTATCAGCTTTGACCTCCACGATCAACGTCAATGCCACCGTGACAGCGAATCGCACCACGACGTAAGTCAATTCCAAGGAGAATAAGATGCACACAATAGTGAAAGGATGATTAACTAGAGTTCGGGATATATTGCAGTTGGCTTCTTCCCACTGGGCTGTCGATCTCGACCATTACCGGGACATATAACGCTACTGCATATTCAATGACCGAGGGCTACACGCTCTGCCAAAACGCGATTTCTTACTATAGTCTCGATGTGGATAACATCGTCCTTAGTGATCTCATGACCAACACCGCCTGGTATAGTGAATGGGACCGTGTCTGTGATCTGGACTTGAGCCAGCCTACTCCCACCATCCCCTTTAATACGAACATTCCCTTGGTCACTGCCAGTGAGACGGGTACGACTTCGGGTAGATACGTGTGAGCAGTCTGGCTTTGGTGATTGTTGCAGCATTTATGGCGACTGGTATGTCCGACAGAATTATGGAGACCCTGGTTGAATCTTTTTCTAACCTAAACTCGCTTTTACCAGTGGTTCCACCAGCGATTATTGTGCTGCGTCAAGCTGCGATGACTCCGCGGGAGTTTGTGCAGGTGGTGTCTCCCCTAATGGTCTCTGCGGAGCAAGCAACAACGACTGGACATGTTTCAATTCCGGCTTTGGAGACTGTTGTGATGCTTATGGTTACTGGTAAAGAACGCACACACACACACAAATTCACGTTAACGAACGTTCTCGCCTTCTGATCTAACTCAACTCCGATTTTTAGTGGATCGACCGATGATTATTGTGGAGCCTCCTGTGACTCCAACTATGGACCTTGCTCCGGAACTATTTCGACAAACGGTCTCTGCGGCGCTGATAATGGGGATTACACATGTTTCGGGTCCACGTTCGGGTCCTGTTGCAGCATCTATGGATATTGGTAAGTGAATGATCTGGCCCGGAGTCTATGACTATCCAAGGAGATACTAACCGAGATGACAGTGGATCCACCGACGAATACTGTGCATCGGCCATCTGTGATAGTTCTTATGGCGGGTGTAATTGAGGGTAAAGCAGAGAGACCCACTAAGTTGAGGCCCTGAAGCCCTCCAAGGCTGTGACTGCTGTGAGGTGGAGAGAAGACCCACAAAAATACTCAAAATTACCAGGGTCTTGTAATGCCCTGTAATACTAGTTCCTGTGCTCAGTCCGCATGTTTCACCTCCAGGGCTTGCATGTGGATTCGGTTTGGCTTTTCTCATAACTCATCTACTCCTCTATTTTCTCGCTTTTCATTTCGATTTTTCACATATACAAATTAAATCTCAAAAATGTCGCACTCAACATCACAAGGCTGGCCGGCCATTCCCGAGATCCACTTGCATCCGACGGATTTACCCCGAGATGAACTGCCGGAAGAAACAAAGGGATGGCTTCTTTTCGTACGGGTAGGGCAGTCCGCGGAAATGCGCTCGCATAATCAATTGATCATTTGTGGTATTGACGGTTAGAAACTTGCAGGAAGAATCCGAATCCCAGCCAGTCTCGACCCCGGAAGACGGGCTGCGACAACGGCGCGCCCTTATTGAGAAATGGGCTACTGCCAGTCAAGAATTCCGCGAGGTCCGTACAGCCAAGCCAATTTTTAAATTTTCCACTCCTCTTCACCTTTTTCTTTCGTCTCTTGCGCTTCTGTAACTCGAAATTGAATATTGAAAATTTTAATCCGCGCAGTCTTACCATGGCCGTGCCCCAGCATACACCTCAGCCCTCGACTACCCGGCCTCATTACTCTCACAGCAAGCCCCGCGGCCCAGCAAGCGGTTCCTGTGTCTGGCACCCGTAGACCGCGAGACCCATCCCCGGGAATACATCCACCTTGTGAAGTTTCTGATTCTGCTGTACGTTCATCAAGGGGAATGGAATGGGCCGCATCCCTTTGACCTGTCAGGCGTGGGCAACGCGCCGCAATGCCACATTCCAGAGTTTGTTAGCCGCGCCACACCCATCGCGCTCGACGAGATCCTCTCCGAGCTGTACCTCTTCTCGGCGGATTTCCACGCTCTCTCGATGACCCGGGCCGGCACGGTTGTGTTCGCCGATGGGCCGTACTACACGTGGTACGTGATCGATGAGCCAGGGCTTCTCACGGGGCGGTTGACGCTGGCTGAGTTTGGTTCCAATGGCAGCGTCCGCGCCTCGACTCTCCGTCGACCCTGGAATATGGGCCAGACGATGTCCTTTAGTCAGATTATGGGCCGACGAGTCTTGGAATTATCAATGTCCGGTATCGGGGGCCCGCCGCAGTATAATGAACCGTACGTTTGTTTCTTGCCTACAACTCTGTCCCCGTTTTCAGTCTTCTAACGTGAATCGCTTGTTTGTGGGAATAGCTTGGATATGGACCTTCCCATAATTGAGCTTTTGGAAGTAACACGACAGACCAACAAGTTCCTCTTCGAGGGCTACGGCAGTCGGGATCTGTGGGTGAGCACTATCGAGCAGAGTGCGCCCGGGTATCTGAGCTTAGAGGCCCAAGGACGGGAGCTGGAATTCAACCTTGATCAGTTGCTTGACATTAGTTAGTTATTGATGCTCACTTTGAACATTTGAATCCGCAAAAAAACTCGCTTGTGGTTGGTGTGGTTCTCTATGACAGTTGGTTCTGACGGCTCTCTATCCGGCTATGCTATTGATATTCCAAGATGCGACCCATACTACCAGAGTCACAACATGAAATCTTAAGTTCGTAATGGGATTATCAATGCGAGACATGTATATAATGTTTGAGAGAAACAGGGAAGCCCGCGTCCAAATATTCAAATGGCCAACTGGCAATCTGATGTGACTACAGTGTAGTGATGCAATTGAAGAGGGAGAGAGTTGTCAATTCCTAAAGGGCAGAATGCCCAACTATCTAGTTATGGGGGTTGGTGCCTGCCGCACCGGGCTGATGGTCAGGTGACCACCATGTCCAACACAATCAAATTGATCTTGTGGGTTACCCGGGTAGCAACCCCTCAAGTGGAACGTCCCGCTTCAAAACAAGTGTTTGAATGCTCTTTCTTAGTGGTACGTTTCAAAGCCCATGGATGTTAGGTATTCGAATCTTCGTAACGCGTAATGGCAAGACAATCTTACCAGGATACCAATTGGCCAAGCAAAGCCAAGGAAAATCAAGCAAAATCAAGCTACAGTAAGCGCTTGGCAGATGTGGATGGTCGATCATCAGATGTCTCAGAGCAGACTGTATAGATCGAGAATTTCACGTGAAAGAGCGGGTAACTTTTCCAGCCTGGAACATTGAAAACAAAGGAAAACAAAGCCAAGCTGCCAATTCAGTGATTTGCTGAGTATCATAGCATAAACAAGCTGTCAAATTCATCGCGATGGCGGGGGACATTGACTAGTATGTAACATGCAGGGACTAGACGCGTCGGGGCACCTGATATTTTACAGATTTGGATCTTTGGGCAACGGATGTGTTCGCTACTAGTGTTCTACAGGCTTTCTCAAGTGTCTTTCTAGCCTTTCTCTACGTCTTTCTAACCGTCTTTCCTCTTGAATCCATACATCCTCAAGCTGAGGTAGTAATCTTAAAAGCTACCATTTCAATTCGAGTCCACACCTGCATAATTAAATGTATCCAATGTTGTAATGGGAGCGACGAATTACTTTAGCTGTGCGAGCGCAAAGAGGGGTTTCATACGGTTAGTCGGAAAATTGAAGGGTCCCCAAGTAAGAAATATCGGGTGTTTAGCCATTTTCATTCAATCTCATGAAGTCATCCCGATTTTCCGCAAAGTAATGGACTGACTCCCATTCCGGAGGAGCGTCACCTGAAAGCGGTATTCCCCAGCCGTGGCCATTCAAAGGGTCTAGTTGTGAGCGAGACTCGCTGTAAACGTGCCAGCGAAGTAATGACTGGATACCCTCCTCACCGAACTCTGCTTTCTTGGCGGATTTTTATATCACCTGTATCGTCTCTTTCAACGTTCATTGGCTTGTTGTATGTGACTTGGCCCTCCCAGCCAGCCCAGGACCACGAGGGGAACCCGTCACGTCTCTTCAGCCGCTGTGTAGGTCTCCACATGAGAGCAACATCAAGTATGCAGTTCGGGAGCCCAGCGGTGAATTCCGATTTGAAGCTCAACTGAAACACATGGAGCAGACCATCAAGTGCTCTAAGGACATCCGATTTGAATGTACTGTGGCGTGAGATATAACTTTCGATGGCTTTCGCATACGCGGCAAACGTTCCAGATCGAACGACACGTGTCCTGCCATGTCGATCCACTTCCAGACTTCCGTCTATCCAATTTTTATCAACATCAACGCCGAAATACTGAGGCTTTAGCGAAAGCGATTCGAGGGGCTCGGTTATGTATCCAGAATCCTCGATTCGCATGTCCTCTCTGCATATCATTCCTCGACAGTACCAAACAACCTCATCACCGGCAAATACGAGAAGTCGTTTCGACATGAGCTTCTCTTGGAAAGTCCATGCTCGGGAGTCCCAGCTTATCCATGATAGATTCTGAGTAGAAGCAAACGGTGCAACGATATGGGCTCCATCTTTTATTTCGGCTGACTGTTGTATGATCTCCCGGGGCGGACTTGGGTTTTTGGTGGCAAATGCTTTTCTCTGGACTCCTCGCAGTCCGCTGTTAGCATCACCACCCTGGGCTGCGACAATTGTCAGCAAGGCGCTCCCATACACTCGATCCATTGTAGCAATCTGCTCTTGTGCTTCCGTCACGCAGTCCTGCCTTATACACTATGAAGCACTCAATTTTAGTATCTAGATGGATTTATTTGAAGCCTCGAAAGCTGCAGGAAGTGAGTAACTTACTAGTGAATCCACCCACAAGTACTTCTCACCAAGAGCCTTGGTCACTTCCATCGCATCGACAATAGTTCGTGGCAGAACATCTAGCCATTTTCGGAGACCTTGAAATTGTGCCATGGCAGCCTCATTATCTCGAGTCAGCCTGACATTGTTTTTGCCACCCCATACATATGATAAGGCCAAAAAGCGACAGCTTGCGGGACCTGGAGGCTGAAGGAGGCAAAGTCTGTCGATATTAATCACACGCAAGAACTCTGGGCGTTGCATAATGATGCCCCAGTCGTGCTCTTTGCAGCGCTTTCCATGATCCAATTCGCAATGAACTAGCCACTGTCGCACCATTGCCGTGTCAATCCAATTCTTGTCAAGAAGTCTGCCGTACGATAAGTTCCTCCACGTATTAAAGTTCTGATCCATATTTGGGTGAGTGACACGAAGACGAAAGTGACTGAGAACCTGTGGGTCTCCACCAGGACGGTTTCCAACACCAACAAGACTTGCAAAAGCCAGTCCGGGGAACTCGGGATGATTTCTCGACATGATGGAGATCTCCAAATCACAGCTGAGAGGATATTTTGTGGCTGCTTTCTTTCCCTGTTCTAATCCATCCGCATAGGTATTTCCGGGCGAATATCTTCTAGATTGACTTGACCGAACGTTCCGGGGCTTGATCACTGCACCTGCGGCAAGCCTTAGGAGAACATTCCTCACCGCTGGTCCTCCGATGATCTCGGAAAAGAGGTCTTTCGCGGGGCCGAGTACGTAAGTCGCACCATCGTGACGATACTCGCTTCTTCCGAACGGCCAGTTGGCGTCGGTAAATTCCCAACCTTGTTCCACCCAATCCAACATCGTCATCCCTTGGAGTTCTTCCTGGACATACTTGGCGACTTCAGGGTGCTTTAAAGGGTCGAATTCCGGACGAGTAAGCATTGAGAGCAACAACAGGCACATTCGACACCAATCTGAGTGATATATGATTCTGGACAATGATGTGGCCCAATGGATTTCCACTTCATCTGTCTCTTTGAAGGATTCATCGTAGCACGCCTGGATGGGTGACGATCGGCACTTGGAGCATAGACCGTCCTCCTTAAAGGACTTATAAAACACGTCATTGCAATCGTCGCTTGTTTGGGTGAAGGCCTTGGGGGATGCATGTTGTTAATAATCTCTTTGAAGCCATCTCTGAAACGTCCGCCAGCTTGAGTTACTTGTATGGGGATCTGAGGAGGTTTCAGCTCGACTTTGGGGAAGCGCTTCGCGGCCGTGTCTAAAATTGACCCTGTTCCCTTAAATCCGTTTTTGATGAATCCTGGAATGCCTGGAATTTGAAAGTCTCCGAGTACAGGCTTTTTGCTATCTGTGTTTTCCACGTCATGCGTGGATTTGCTAGGAAGGCAACTTGAAGGTCTTTGAGGCAGTGGAGGAGGCCGCTCACCCGTAGGTGAGTCGGACCCCACATATTCACTTTCATGGTCAACAAGAAGGATTTGAGGACGTTCCTCTAGATCCAGCTGGGTCGGAGGTGCCCTGAGACTTTTGGGCTTTGCTGGTTTTTGAGGTCGATTTGGCTGAGACATCCAGCCGGTTAACGATCGGTTCACGTTTTGATTTACAAAGTTGGGGAGCTTGCGACGGCAGCACTTGAGCTGAGATGAACAGGGTTACAGGAACATTGAATGAGACTGAACCCCGCCCCACGCCTGTGGCAGTGTTGACTTGTTGACTACCACCCGGGCAGGGACAAACCCCACATGTGCAAATTCAGCCATTCAATGTTCGGCTGTACCGCCCTACGCTCCACCTCAAGTGCTGATTGTTTTCTCTTAGCCCCACTACATGTAGGCAGGGCCTACGGCCTAGGGCCCGCCGCCCAACTATCTGGGCCTTAACTGCCTAAGGTCTGACTAGCTAGGGCCCTGGTGATAGGCTATGCATGCTAGACATTTCTTTAATCTCATTATCTTAGGTATTAAACCAGTGATAATGCCTTGGTCCAAGGAATCCTAGACACTAATTACATGTATACATAAGATAGGAAAAAATCCCCTAGTTTTCCTTTGCCTTTTCTTTTCAAGTTTCCACTGTTCAACCAATTCCGCTATCACCGGTCGGCTAACTTTGCAGCCCAGGTGCCCGGTTTCTTATTTCTACCAGCAATCAATCACTTCACCACCTTGATGATCACCTAATCTTGACATAGTTCCTTATGGAAAGCTCTCACCAGTGGAAAGCGGGTTTGATTTATTATATAGATAAGTTTCATCGAAAATGTCCTATTCACGTAACCTGAGACGTTATGAAATCACTCACAAAGTTGCATTTCATCCTCTGAATATTTAGCTTTTTTCGACATCGTTTTGTAGTAACAAAATGGGTAGGAAGTTGGTATAAAAAGAAAAATCTCTCGTTTTGTGGAAAACTCTCGTTATGTAATACCTGGTCCAGGTATGGGGGCGGTAAGACGGCTATTGTCTAGAATCGTAATCATGTCTTTGCCACAAATAAAGCTTTTTTGGTTCCGGGTGGTCCCGTACGGTTAGTTACGAAATCGGCTCCCGCAAACGTGTAGTGGAATGTTTTAAGCTTATTGTCAAGATTATTAGTGGAAGGCTAAGTCCATTCGGCCATTGCCAAGGTTTACAGAACCATAAAATCGCGTGCACTGTGCAGTGTGATCTCTGAAGGCGTTCTAGCCATAGTATCGTTGTTATAGCTGACCATTCTATCGTAACAAACCGCCTCACGGTTCGAGGCTTAGGGCCCAGTGGTGTGATCATGCGAGGCAATGCGAAGGAAGGTAGCTAATAGTTAACACCAAAGGGATCAAATTTGTCATTCCTAGCTTTTCTCGACGGTTTTAGACCTAGCAAATAATAATTGGAAACGCTGGATTGATGTTGCGTCCTCGGGCAAAATCATTTTTAATTCTTGGTTTCCACCTAGTTATTCCTTTCACATCAGAGGCCACAATTCGAGTGTTATTCTGTTCACTTAACAGAAAGCCAATTCCCTGCCTTACTATGCCCTATATAGAGCTTTAAGCTTTTGATTAATTTGTGAATGAACATATTCGCCACTGTTATAACGAAGTGAGACCACAGTGATCGGTGCTGCAGAAGTGCACTGAATGACGTTTGCCAAACCTTGTTTCCCCTGATAGCCTAAAGCTAAGCACATTGCGGATAAGTCCGGTCTAAACGGTCTTATTGCTTCTAGACCTAACATGTTCTAGCCAGTTCGGCTCATCGTCATATTATCATATGATCTCTCCTATGCGGGAATGAATGGCCCAGGCCTGAGTTGAATCATCTCAGCTGCCATCGCGGCACTGTCACAAAAAGATGTGGTCAGAATGCGATAATTGACCTAATCTGCTCTCCGGGGGACATATAAAGTTGTCGAATGATCTTTAAGTGATAGGGATACGAATTTGTTTAAGAGGCCCATCCTTTTATAAAATCATTTGAAATCCCCGTACAATCTAAGCACCTGGAATAACGGGTTCCTGGACCAGCCCTGTGCATGACCAGCCCTGTGCAGTATAAACAGACAAGTCTGCTTGACCATCCTTGTCGAATATCTATCATCTGTAAGTATATTCATCTACCCACCGTCTACTATCTATCTACCCCACTGCCCATCTACCCATCTACCCACTATATGAAGTATCTTCTAACATTCGCAGGGCATCATGACTATTACCAGGAATGAGGAGTTCCGATCATGGTCTCACCATTTCCAACGCGTGACAATCAACATGGACGAAGTGTGCCAGCAAATTGTGCAGATGATTTGCGAAGTGGAAGTTCAACATCTGTTGAAGAGGGACGGGGTCAGAGACGCAAGTTTTGGCCAAGCTGTTGCCCACAACCCCAACGGGGACATGATTGCGAATGGCTATATATCGAAAATGGATATTACTGGTTTCAGCCAAAAGACGAAGAGAACGAGTTGGCATGACAGATCAAGGAGGTGGGATTGTGATGTGACGATCGGATATAACGTCATCCAAGAATACACGAAAATGGACGAAAGTGGCGAAGATTTCTCGAGGCCGCCAATCCAAGCAGTCAATGATTTGAGACAACAGTTTGCGAACAAGTATCAGATATAATTGTCTGTTTGTCCTGCCCAGCTTCATGCACCTGTGAGTCTCCGAAGGATCCCCCTTTTAAAAGCGAGTTCTAATTCATCGGACACATCTCTCTAGCCATGAGGCATATACATCAATTTGGACGTCATTCAACATGACGTTTGGTACATCTCCGCCGCTTTAGGCTGATAATGAAGAACATTGATTCCACTCAGCTACTTTGCTGGGGATTGCTGCGTTGAAGGGTATCGTAATAAGGGTCTGTCCATCAGTACAAAGATCTATAGGAGATGGACTGTTTCTTTCGCTTTACAGATTAATAGTCATGAGCACTGAACAGCCATTACAGAATTGTGCTGATTTTCACATAACACCACACTCACTTAAGCACCAATCCTTCCTATTAGTATATGTTGCTACTCAAATTATTGCATGTGGATCTCGACTTAACACTCGAAATGCAAGTCCCACATACTAGCGTCTTCAGCGATCCATATTTTAGTGTACCCTCTGAGTCAATGCCTGGCTCCTAAGTCTTATTCCACGCACGGTACCGGGGTATTATGGTCTTTAGCGAATGACAGCCCTAGATATCTAGCCTAAGCAGAGCCGATAAAACCAGGTACCATGAGATATTTGGAAGCTTTTAGTACCTGACTGTCCGAGTGGCTCAAATTTTCCAACAATTTCAATCTGGTCATTGGTTTCAAAACGGCCAGGTTCTCTGGAGTGAAGCGGCCCCATGGTCACGTTGTGACCAAGATAAACTAGATCAATTAATTGATCGCTATGTGGATTGATCATTGTGTCAACTGATTACTGTGCCAACTGATCACTGTGGCAATTGATCTCACAATAAATTGACTTGTGCGTGGGCTGCCTACGTACGAGTAGATAATGGAGGTTCTGACTACGAGGGGAAGAAGTGATCAACCAGACGGCAAAAGATGATGTTGATGGAAGATGAGGAAACTAGCTACTGTACTGAAGCCTGTCTATATAGCTTCGTACCACAAAGCAAGCCAGATTCCATCCACCAGAACACAGAAGAAGCATCTCTGCAGATACACAAAGGAAAGCGCTGATGCGGCAGGCTGCGCGTTTGCCGATGAGCTGTCTGTCAGAGAAGAGAAAGAAAGGGAAAGGAATGCCACACAGAAGGTCTACAAGCTGCATGGGGCGACAGTGAGCTTGTCAGAATGCATCAGTAGATTATGCGAAACGTTAGAATTTTGAGGAATTTGCTATACCTAGTTTGGCTTCGTCTGATACGTCGGCTATCACTCACTAAGAATTCATCGACCCCTCACTATTCGAGTGTTCGACGGTCAACGTCACCAAGTGTAGGCTCAATTATAGGATCATTCACATTACGCTACCGCTAGTTGTGTAAAGAGGCATAGAACCAAGTTCTGTATGCCGATGCATCCGCCAGCTATCAACTTTAAGAACCGGTTTATACGCCTGCGCTACCGACAAATGTGAATCATTCGATCAGCTTCGCTAGATTATATAGCACAAGCAGATGCCCTGATCAATCAAGCTATCAAATATAGTACAGATCGCTACAAGAACGATTTTGGAGATATTCTAACGTGCTTCGCCATCATTGAACCAATAAAAAGTGAAGTAAAGCAGTACGCAGTCGTCGATCACATTATGACTAGGTCTGCTAGATCCGCGGCGATACATATAAGCACCCCAGCTCATGGATTGTACTGTACTTGCCATCAAGTGACTCAGATCCGTGGATGTCTTGCCCTGGCAAGCGGGACTGAATTACTCTGCCCCATTGATGCCACTATATAACAGTAGACAGAAGTGGTTCACCTCCCTGGTGATATGATTAAACGGAGGGCGATGAAGGCGATTACTTCACTGAGAGTAGGCTTAAATATATACCCCTCAGTGAAATTGATACCACTTGTCTCTAGGACGTCATCACAAGTTCTACTTACGTTTTAAGTTCCTGGGAATCTAGATGATCATGGATTACGAGCGAATTCGTGAAGAAAATTTACACATGTCCACAAAATGGCGTGGAGTCTGACGTTCCCAGGAGCATCCAGCGGCTTCCCCGCCTGGGAAAGTCTATGAATCAATCATCCGGCAAGTTCCCAGGAGCAATCTCTTTTAAGGGATTGGTAAACCCGTGGAGATGGGGTTTGACCAAGCATGTGTTCCGGTACGTGTGCTCCATGTAGAGAGAAGATGCCCAGAGTAAGACTTGCGGTCTTCCAGTATGTTCATGTGATTTCTCTTAGACTAGCTCCATGCCTGTCTAGGAAACCGTGGAAATCAGTAGGCAAGGATTCCCAGGAGCATGCAGATGATTTAATAGGTTGGTTAACTATCAGGCTTCCCCGAGGCGCAATGACTACCAAAATGAAACATCAGGTTATTGATGCCAATGCATTTTGGATGGGACAGTGGGGCTAATCTATAGAATGAGAATTTAACGTAGATGGGGCTAGCGTATTGCGTTTTATTGAGGTGTCTTGTGCTCAGGTCGTGCTGAGTGAGCAAGTCAGAGTGCTCAGTGAGCGGATCAGTGGGAGTGCTTGCCTTATAAATTGGTTTGCCAAAGTCGCACAGGATGATACGCCGATGGACTCGATTTGGCAGTAGATTGTTGGATATTTTGATTGGAGATGCCGAGCAGGATCGCTTACTAGGTGGTAGAGAAGCACCTGTTTGGCTAGAAGAGCGTTTCGTGCCGGTCCTGCCGCTGTTACGACCCTGTCGCGGAGCATCAGATGCGCTTGTGTCAATCGAGAGCGCCAATCGTTCGGGCCGATAGTTTCTGTCCTAATGTCCAAGCCGCCTCGAACATTGTCCCGGACACCATCAGCCTTACCCCGGACGTAAACAGTTAAATGATGATAATACCTCGAGACGTTTGCCACACCTCTTTCGGTGGCTTCTTTAAGGAGCTCACCTTCTTCATCGCGTTCTGTATATTGCCAAGAGTCTTTGACAACGAGCGAAGTCCGGGGGTCCGCCTCAAGATACGCTTTCCAGCATGTTGTTGCTCGACCCGCGATGCAGGGTGCGCGTTTCATCAAGCTATCAAGGATGAGCCTTTCAGTCTGGCCGTTCCGTTCTATCTCGATGATTTGCCGGCCATTTTGCATTGTTATTGTGGGATCAAACCCACAGTCTGCCTCGCTCATCCATAGAAACCCTAGGATAGTTGATATAAGCTGGAGCCCATCCTCGTTGATATCGAAATGTTCGGATGCGATACCTCCGAGCCGGTCAAACGCCCATATTCTCATGAATGACCCACATAATGTAAAGCCAAGGACAAAGCGGCGAGTATCTTGGGCCGCGAGGACTTCCCTGGCGTACCTCCACAAGTCAAGCCATGCTTTGGAAGCCGTGTCAGCCGCCGGATTCCTTTTTAGCTCCCCAGGAATGAGAATCTGTGACCACTGACATCGGGTGTCTTTTCCCGCAGTAGCGTCACTTACAAAACCGATGTCTAGCTTACGCTCTCCCGTAGAAGCTTGGATAGGCTTGTTGGGCTGTGCAAGTGGTCTCCGCAGGGGCGCCGTGGCAGGGTTGTTGTCTGTTGAGAAAGTTGACAGTTTTTCGGTCAGATCTACAAACCAAGTCAAGACATCGTCCTGGTTGGCATCTTTTGGCCATCCTGAAAATACCAGCTCTGGGAAGACTGACGGTCAAGAAAACCACAAACGAGAAGATACCCCATGAAAATTAGGAAGCACAACATCCTTCCACTGGGATTGATGATAATACAACAGCATGGGAACAGGTGGGATGGTGGTAGGGAAGTAATTTTCCACGCCTACGTAAAGTGTTCCGATTTTTCAAGAAGTGTGGCCACGTTCAAACCACGGACCTCAGTTCTTTGCTTAAGCCAGGGAGACCGCGATGTCGAGTACATAATTCGAACACAGCCCTGGTCCAGTATATATTCTCCATCCATATTTAATTCCGATGTCGCGGCTTTCTTCCTGATCCGCGCTAGCCTCATATTATAACACTACCGAATACTGTTACCTATGGTACTGAAGACGTATTCTAAAATACATGGACTATTGTGTCGAAAGCGGTCTAGATCAAAGTGCTTAAAATAAATCCAATCAGAACTCACATATTTAGGATTTATTTTCCGGAAATCAAGTCTAAAGAGTTTGAGGTCAAACCGAATTCGAAAACTACTGTATGGGATGCAAGTCTTTCGATCTAAATCTTCCATTCCTCATGTCCTCCATGGCTGTACGCATTGGCTGGCTAGGCCGGTTGTCAACTGGCGACAAAACCCGTTCTTTTCCCTTTACGTTGAAAATGCGCTTTTGCATCACACATTGGACGAAACGCCAGCGGTACAGTATGCACGCTTGATCTTCCTCCATAGAGCACACAACAACAAGCCTGGCTAAATACGTCCAGAGTCAGACGACTTACAGTAGTTTTCTCTTGTTGTGTGTGGCTGTTCTTGATTGCCTGGCGACCACCACAACTTGGTGTAACAAGACGCCCTGCGGGCACTTAACGGCGACTGAATGTCGTGCTTGAGGATCTTGATATTCTGGGCATTTTAGAGTTGCCAGAGGCTTCGCCTATTCAACCATCATATTGATGAGTTGCTTGCAGCCCCAGTTTGAGAGACCCAGCACGTAGCGGTTGAAAGCCAAGGTCATTTGCGACAGTTGATGCTCAGTTAATTGACCGTTGATTAATTGAGCGCTAATTACTCACTGTCTTTTTTTCTTGCCCTCAGTTTCATTGCACGTCTAGACCCAAGTGACCCAAATGATGGTTTAACTGGTTTCAACACGGTTAACGGAAGAGACCGGCGGGCGGTGAAACCGCACTTTATTTTCAATAATCCAGGTGTTGTAAATGGAGTTTGCAAAATCTGGGCAAGAGGTGCTGGTTAAACATCGTCTTCACAGAATTATCTGCGTTCAGTTTTTAGTCCCAAATCATGGGGGTTTTCAACGTAGCAGTGTTCTGCTCTCGCGTTGGAGCACGTCCTTGTGCTTATGTAATAATCAGGTGATGCTCCCAGTTCGCGAGCCTGATGATTATGTAATACTCAGGGTCGTGCTCAGTTTTACTCAGTGAGCAAAAAGCGGCAAGGCCTAGCTAGATATCGATATTTCGATGTGGAATGACTTTAATAGCGTGACAATCCCTGGCAGCTCTTTGTCAGATGATTATAATCCAGACGAACCTAGATCAGTTCCAAATGCTTAGAACCACTAGCCAATTTCCGGTTGGCTCCGAGGGCTGAGGCTAGAGATAACTGCGTAAAGAACTCGGAAACCAGCACGGAAAGCGCTAGAGCAAAGAGACATCTTCACCGGCAAATGCAAACCGGATGATCAAAAAAAGGCAGGAGGCCGACCAGAAGAAGATTTAGAGGCTACAAGAAAAACATGCCCGGTTAGCAGAAATTGAACAACAGGCTCAAATGGCGAGGGGCACCCGCTGCTGAATCATCAAGCTTTTTCATGATTACTTGGGGGAAGATTCCAAATTGTAATTCCTAATGGAGGTGAACAGTGGGCCCTACGATATACTTTTGACTGGTATATCTGCAGCTTCCTGTCAAGTATTTGCCGGATTCAACCCCGGACCCGACTCACAGAGACCAGGTTACGCCGGCTTGGACACGTTCGAGTTTCAACCGAATATGCAGTACAGAGCACACGAGGTGGTTTGACCTTTTCATAGAGGTCTATATACTGAACCAATGTCACTTTGTAGGAAGTAGTTGAAGTTCGATGATAGTTCATAGGATTGGCGATGCAAATGCACCAGAACTATAGACCAGTTGTTCGATAGATATCTTGCGAGTATGCGGCGATATCTACTATACACCCTGTGCTGTTTTATACTTCCAGCGATAAGCACAAGACCCGGTTTCTTGAACCCTCCAGATGTCTCTCCAAGTCGCGGGTCTTTGCTGAAACATCCAGTCCTTCCTGTTCCCAGTGCATGCGCAGAGAATACACCTACAACCAGACATCAATGGTGTGAACACGATCTCTACACCGACTACACAAAAACAACGCCAGAAACCGGAGTCACGCGAGAGTTCTGGCTCGATATAGACCAAGCAACACTAGCACCAGACGGCCGATCAAGATGGGGCCTAACCATCAACGGCTCCCTACCAGGCCCAACCCTCGAAGTCAACTGGGGCGACGAGGTAGTCATCCACCTCCGCAACAGCCTCCCCAACACCGTCCACAACGGCACAAGTCTACATATCCACGGCCTCCGCCAACACTACACGAACCCCATGGACGGGGTAGTCTCCGTCACGCAGTGCCCCGTTCCACTGGGATATACAATGACCTATCGATGGCGCGCAACACAATACGGTACAACATGGTACCATTCGCACATCGGCTTGCAGACCTGGGAGGGCGTGTACGGAGGTCTGATCATCCATGGGCCGGCCAGCAGCAACTACGATGAAGATAAAGGCGTCATACAGCTCTCCGACTGGGACATCAGCACAGTCGACCAGCTCTGGCATGGAGCAGAGACAGTCGGCTCGCCGGTGCTGGACAATGCCCTCATCAATGGCGTCAATGTCTTTGGGAATGACAGTGATCCGAGTCAGACGGGATACCGTTTCAACACCTCGTTCACGCCGGGAATGTCGTATCGGCTCCGCGTGACGAATGTCGCCTGCGATACGCACTTCAAGTTTAGCATTGATCACCATATTCTAACGGTCATTGCTATGGATCTGGTTCCTATACAGCCGTACAATACCACAGCCGTGAGTCTGGCGATTGGTAAGCTTTCACTCATACCAACGAACCAACCAAGGGGCACACCTAACCAATCGAAATAGGACAGCGCTACGATGTAATAGTGCACGCAGACCAAGCCTCAACAGCCAAATCCTTCTGGCTCCGTGCCGTCCCACAACTCTCCTGCTCATCGAACAGCAACGCAGACAATATCCGCGGCATAATCTACTACACCCACACCGACAAACCAACCCTCCCAACAACAGAAGCCTACAACCTAACAGACACCTGCGAAGACGAACCCGCCCCAAAGCTAACCCCGATAATCTCAACACCCCTCGTCCTCACAGCAGAAGACTTCTTCTACAACGAAACCCTCTCCGCAACCACCGCGCTAACCCCCCACTCCGTCTACCGCTGGTACCTAAACAGCACCTCGATGCAAGGGAAATGGGCGCAGCCCACGCTGCGCAATTTCAGCGCCGAAAGCAGCATAGCCGATAAACCGGCTGTGATAGCAATTCCACAGGCAGATACGTGGGTTCTTGTCGTTATCGAAACGAGTATGGATATTGCACATCCGATCCACCTGCACGGACATGACTTTTTGGTTGTTGCGCAGGGATATGGGTCCTGGGATGGCTCCACGTCTACATCTAAATCTTACGCTAAATCTACAGGCCGGGATCAGGATACGAGCACCGGTCTAAATCTCGACTTCGCGGCCGGCGCACTCCCGAAACGCGATACGGCGCTGCTGCCCGGGATGGGGTATTTGGTTCTTGCGTTCCGGTCGGATAATCCGGGCGCGTGGCTGATGCATTGTCATATTGGGTGGCATCTTGATCAGGGGTTTGCGTTGCAGTTTGTTGAACGGGGGGAGGAAATTGAGGGGCTTTTGGGGGGTCGTGCTGTTGGTGGGGCTGGTGCGGATTGGAGGGGGTTTGGGGATGGTCTGGAGAGGAATTGTCGGGCTTGGGATTTGTATCATCGGGGGAATAATGTTTTGGAGGATGGGGCTGGGATTTAATTTGCTTTTGCGTTAATGAAATGAACTCTTGGTACCTGCATGTAGGGATTATTTTGGATTAATTAATTAATAGTACGGAGTAGACTAGTTACATTTAGGGCATGCATTTAGGTGTACAAAAGGACAAACAAAAGACAAGTCTGAATTTTCAATAGAGTTTTTCTTTGCTTTTTCTATTTAGTTTCTTTGTATTCTAGAGATATTAGGATGCTCGATATTGAGTATTCAGAAAAACAAATACGAAAGCTGCAGCTACTATCACAGAGTGGAGTATACAACCCTAGAGATGTAGGACCTACTTAGTCCGGTTAGTCTGAGCGACTACTGCAGCACACGTACTTTAGGGGAAATTCACTAGCAAAGAAAGGGGAAATGCTAGGTAGATAGGAAAAGTCGTCCAAGCCAATGAAGAAAAAAAATAGTATATCGTAATCGTCGCCATTCATTGAACCATCCCACCTAAACATAACACATCTAAGCCATCTGATCTAGAATCTAAAACACATGATGAGCGATCAGCCCGGAAAAAATAAAAACAAAAACATAATCCGAAGAAGCGATGCGCATCTTCTATACAAGACCGATTCATAACCAGAATGTGATCTAAAAAGGAAAAACAGGAGTGGGAATGGGAAATAAGCAAAACAGAAAAGAAAAGGAAATACAGTCATGATATCATATCGTAAACAAGCCCGAAGGCTAGAAGGTAAAAGGTAGGAAACAGCGCAAGAAAAAAGAAAAAAGAATGCAGAAGGCATCACACTCATGAGATTTGCTTCGCAGAGCGCTTGCAGGCACCGCGCTTCGGCACGTCCATGTGGTGGTACGAGCGCAGGTGCTCGACGAGGTGGTCCTGGCGCGGGAAGCCATTGCTACCCTTCCGCGAGCAGTGCTCGACGGGGCAATTGCGGAAGACGGGATAGTGGACGCTGGACTGGTGGCGCTTCAAGTCTGCGAAGCGGGTGAAGGACTTGCCGCAGTTGTCGCAGCCAAAGGGCTTAGCTGGTCTGGTGGGGAGAGATGTTAGTCACTGCGCGAGCGACGTTAGATGGATGGTCGGCTTACTTGGATGCAGGCGCTGGCGATTCCGCGTTGGATTCGTATTCGCTGATGGGGTAGGTTGGTAGCGCGATGTCTTCGGAGGGGAAGGTGAAGCTGCTGCTGTAGCTACTGCTGTAGCTGCTGCCACAGCTGCTGGGTGTGCTCTGGGGCATGGTGGGTCGGTCGAAGACCGGGTAGTCGTGTGGTGTTTGGTAGGTGTAGGGTGAGCTGGTGACGTTGTATAGTTCTGGGGCGACCTCTTGCATAGGGAAGGGACTGGTTGCGTCGAGGTCGCAGAGGGAATCGTAGACGGGCTGGCCGCCGTAGAAGAAGAAGTCCATGCTGCCCGGTGAGGAGGAGTAGGAGGAAGAGTAGGAGTCTGGGTAGTTGAATGGGGACTGCATGATGTTGATTGGGGAGGAGAGGGAGCGATGGGTGGGAATTGGAATTGCAGTCTTATAGAGAGAGAGAGAGAGGGTTAGTCTAAAACGCGACGCAAACTAAAGTCAAGTCACCTACCATTGTAAGAGGTAAACTAATTATGTTGTAATGGTTAAAATTGATTTGGCCCAGTATTTATTCAAATACAAAATAATTTCCCCCCGTTAATGGAGACATCAGCCCTTTTATGTGCCCAACACGAAACTGCATGGCAGGGGGTGTTAGGGTATTGGCTAACACGGGACACTAACAACTTCTAGAAACCTTCTCGAAGCAGACTGGACGACACCACTCAGCCTCGGGGATTTGCTGATCTTTTGCTGACGCCGAATATTCCACGGTCCTTCTAGCGTGTCCTTCCCCCCCCCTCTCATTTCACGTAACCAACGGTGATTGGCGGAGGATCCGGTGTCGAAGCCAACGAGGTCAGTTAGTTGGCTGCGATAAGCAGTTGGGTGCCCAGAGAGTTTCCCCCTCACGCCGATCTTCTCATGATTGGCCGTTGGCGTGTTCTGTGCGTCTTCCGTGTGCCTTCTGTGTGTTCTAGTGTCATTCTAGCGTGCCAAGAACTCGTGTCTGACATGTTTTTTTGGTTTTGTTTTGTTTTGTTTCCGTTTCATGTGTTGCATGATGTAGTTATTTGGTGTTAGATAGAAGTAATTATATTCGGGTTGAAGTCTGAGCAATATCAATTCAATATCAATATAAACATCAATATCAATATCAATATCAACTTCAATCAACTAAACCAACTCAACTCCACTTCAACTGCCCAACTCCATTCATCCAAACTGGTATTGACGTATATCGGCACAACGGCACAATCGTGCCAATTACATTACCGGATCAAGATCCAGCCTTAACCCGAACATCTCCATTCTCCATCCACGGAGAACTTGGTCGTCTAATATTCCCACAATTCCCAAACCCCTCCAATCCGGGGTCAGAGATCGACCGATGATGTCGCGGTCGCGCACAGCCCCTGACGTAGCATCTACTGACTAGCGTTCGCTAATCCCCGGCTTCTAGAAAGGAAAAATCCCGCGCTCGAGCTGAAAGAGCCCATGCATGCAACCCGTAATGTATAGTTACGGGGTACTCCGTAACTAGCCACAGCGAAATGATTCGTCATATGTCGCTCTCTTTTTTTTTCTTTATTTCATTTATTCTCAGTCGGGGATCGATGACATTGCTTCCGGTCGTGTTGTTGGGCAACCTTGGACTTGGCTTTTATGAGCCCCGTTGCCTTTTTCCTTTTTCCGATTTCCGGTTTTTGTCGCATTTCGGGCTTATACTTATATTTTTTTTCGCTATTGGCTTGCATGCACTTGCATATCTCCTGCATTCTTGTCCCCAAATGGGAAACAGTACTCCGTAGACCTGCAGACCTACGTGTCCACGAGCAAATACGACAACCCCGGAGGATCATACGGAGTTCCCGGGGTATGGATTAGGTACTTATGATATCTGCTGATCCAGGGCCTGGCCCGTACCCGTACCTGCAAGGCAGACTGCGCATAAGCATGCTATGCACTAGACTTGGCTACTTGGTTACTTGGCTGAGCCACTTGCCTACTTCTGTAATATGCTTGACTTAAGGATTCATTGTATTCGAACAATTGATAGCCTTGGAAATAACACGAAACTCCCGTATCACCGAGGCCCATTCATTGCACTCATTGATGCCAGTCCTGCGAAAACAGTAAAAGAAGAGAAAACACGCCCACCGAGACCCCACAGTTTCCAGAGTTCCCGCCATAGCCTCAACCATCCAGTCTATCGAACCATAGCCGCAAAGCCACCGATAGTGTAAACGAATCCAGGGTGAAAAGCAATCATCTGCACTTGGAGAACCCGAATGGGTGGCTCACGAGTAAAAAAAAAAAAAGCCAAAGACGCCTCATAACTCGTCCTCGAGGTATTTGTACACAAACTTGAAATCAGCCTTGCGCCGATTCATCCTGTTGTTATTCGTAAGTGGTGAGCTCGTCAAGTGGGTGAGCAAAACGAAATCAGTCGGATTCTTTAACTGACCATGTGCTTTCGTAGTCGAAGAAGCGATAGGTGCCTTGTTCAAACTCCTCGGTAATGTTCTTCGGCTCCTCGTGACGCTGGAACCAGGTTTGATACTGCTTGTGGAAGCGCCAGCTCTGGTTGCGGAGCGCTTTGGCCGCGAGATATTGCTGGTACGTCCCTTGGCGGTAGTAGAAAAGGTAGAAGAGAGTATCCGTGTCGATTCTCCCGGTATCGTACAACCGGGGGTCGTCGAATATTGGAAGAGGTTCCTGTGGATAGTAGAGCGCAGTGCTGTAGGGGTTCTGCGGCTTGTAGTGACGTGGCTTTTCGGCATCGCCAGCCTCGGGACAGGTCGTTAATGAGGTAGCGAGAAGGCGCTGGACCGACGGCGATGGGTTGGCCGACGCACGCGACTTGGTCACCTCAAATGATTGGAGTAGGTCCTGGAGACCCGGGGGCAGGTGGTAGATCGATTCCTCACTTTCGGTTTCTTCTGTCTCTAGTTTACCGTTCGTTGATGTCTCCGCCTTTGCAGGCGCGGGCGATAAGACACTTGCACTCACAGGGACCTTGGGTCGCACGTGCCCAGCGAGCTCTTCTGTAACGGCGGCTACAGTGGGTGGAATTATTGACTTCATAATAGGCTGTACGGACGCCACACTGGGCGAAGCAGTAGAAGACTTGGAGATAGGTAGTGCCACGGACAGAGCCGGGCTGAAACCTGGTGGGGGTGGAAGAGGGAGAATGCCAACACCACTTTTGTCACTTGCTGCGGCAGCGGCAGCGGCAGAGGCATACTTGAGGGTTTCACCAGGGGGACGGGTCGGAAGGGGAGCAGGCTTCATGCCCGGAGCACTCGAGGAAGCAGAGGGGTGGAGGGTAGCAAGAACGGGAAGCGGGGATTTCATCTGTGTGGACGGTCTTCGGGCTGCTGGCGCTTCTTGCTTGACCTTGGGTTTCGGTTCGGGCTCTTCATCTTGGATTGATTGCGCGTCTTGTGATGATACACGATCACCTTCGCCGCCCATGCCGAATTGTGCCTCGATCTCCTCGCCGATATTTAGATCGTCGTAGAGTGTTTCATCCTCGCCGGAATAGTCAAGACTGCCACCTTCTTCGACGTAATATTTGATACTTTCCTTGAGATCTTGTACCGCACCCACGTCCAAGTTGCCGTTCTGTAAAGAACGATTGAGGAATTCCAACTTGTTGACGTGCCATTTATGTCGTTCCGTAATATGGGAGATGTCGGCCAGTCGATCTGCCTTCTTCGTATCCTTCTTCCCTTTCTTCATTTGTGCATGAAGTGATTCCTCCTCTGCTTCCAGGGCCTCGATCTTCAGCTGAAGCTCGTCAACCATGGTGGAGAGAAACTCCGAACACTCGACTCTCTCCTTCTCCTTGGGGTCAAGTCGCGAAGCTGCCGAGAGACCTTCCTTGGAATATGCTTTCGTCTTCATTTCCTTTTCGACGGCTTTGAATTGTTCCATGCACTACCGACAATGTTAGCTTGCTGTCCTGAACCATTGGACCAAGGTAGGAAACCCAAACGTACCACTTCAATCGCTTTGCGCTGCTCCATGAGTGGGGCTTTATCTTTGACCTCGTTCCCAGCAGCCCATGACTTGATCTGATCACGGAATCTTTGAAGCTTCTTGATCTCGCGCTTAAGGTGGTCTTCGAGCTTATCCCGTTGCGTAGGATTCGTAGCCTGGCGGATCTTCTCGTAAATGCCTTCAAACGTTTGTATCCCTTCGGAGACCTTCTTGAAGGTTTTTTCAATTTCCTGTTGTGTTTTTCGGGCTGCCATTGTGAACCCGGTGGTGGACTGTGCCGTCCTGGCGTCGGATTAATGCGGTCGGAACGGGGAGATGATGCGCTTTCGACCGAAATGGTCACAAGTACGAAATTGAGGTAGTTGGTGAAGGAAGAATTGTGGGAAGAAGGGTTTGTTTGACAGTAAGAGGGACACAGGCTCGGAAGTCCATGGAATACCTCTCCGCGTTTAAGTGGAAAGCTTCGTGGATGCTCTAATAGGTAGGCGGTCACGGGCGGAGGCAAACGTGAGGGCGGCGCGAGGGGGATTGTGGGCGTTAGACACACAAGTCGCTCGTCGCATTTCAATTTCTCAGTGGGAAAGAACACATTTTACCCCAAAGAAACCAGTCGCGCTGACAAACTGCGTCAAACGAGCTCATTTTGGCAATACCACGCATTTGCTGCCAGCGCTATCACCAGCCTTATCTGCCCCAAGTGCGTACCCCGGCTTTAGGAGCTGTCTCTTATTTCGACACATACAAGATCTATTGAAAATCAAGATGAAAGGTGAGGATCTCTGTACCTATGCTATATACAAATCAACTAACCCCGTTCAGTCATCATCCAAAGAGTCAAATCGGCATCCGTGACAGTCGATTCGGAGCTAGTTTCCTCTATTGGCAAGGGCCTTCTTGTATTTGCTGGCGTTGGCAAAGAGGATACCGAGAAGGAAGCAGAGAATATCGTGAAAAAGATACTGAAGGCCAAGTTCTGGCCCGATGAGAATGGAATACAAGTAAGTCAATGGCTATCAGGTGTGAGACCGGCAATTGACATATCACAGTGGAAAAAAAATGTTCAGGAGATTGAGGGAGAAGTACTATGTGGTATGGCTCTTCATCTTACTCTCCAGACCACTGCTGAACATGACTAGTCTCCCAATTCACCCTCTATGCAAAAATGAAGAAAGGCAACAAACCCGACTTTCATGATGCAGCTGGCCCTGAAGCTGCACGCAGAATCTATGACTTCTTTTATGACAAGATGCGGGAAGGTTATACTCCAGACCGGGTCAAAAATGGTGTCTTCCAAGCCATGATGGAGGTCGAATTGAAGAACGACGGGCCGGTGGGTGTGAACTACTGCAGCGAGGACGCGGCGGTACATTTTGACCTTCCAGTTCCTTTCCTCGCCTTCATTGATTATATACTGACTAGGTTTAATTCTAGGTCACAATCGAAATCAATACCAATCTTCCCAAAAAGGAACCCAAGGAGCAGAAAAATGACGACAAGGTTAAACAGGAC